CTAAGTTCTAATCATGACTCTGTTTAGTGTCTGGTTCCATGATCCTTAGCAAGTCGCTTATCCTTCTATGCCTCCACTCCCTTCTCCCACAAATGATGACAAAAATAATGACTTATCATCCAGGGGTGTACCAGAGTGAAAGGGTTAAAAAGACTGTAATCTATAAATAAATGTCAAATATAAAATGCCAGTATAAATTTGCCTTTATATTGACCCATGTTTTTAGACTGTGGAAAGCTACATTATTTAAATGCAGGCCGCCTCCGCAGTGACCCTTCTGCCTCAAGTGGAAGTAAAATAAGTTGACTCCATGAAGCTCTGTTCAAGAATTTCCCTCTCCAACAACTACATGCTTCTCTCTAAACATTCTACTCATTCTTTGGTTAATGACTTAGAAACCATCAGTTACCATTTTTACTTGGTTAAAAGCAATTCATGTATCTCTAGGTAAGGCAGAAAGAGACAAAAAGAGAAATTACCCATCACTTCCTTTCATGTCAATAACTCAAATTAAAAAGTGACAAAGTCACACTCGCCAGGTAGTTCAGTTGGTTAGAGTGGCATCCCAATACGCCAAGATTGTGGGTTTGATCCCCGGTCAGGGCACATACAAGAATCAACCAGTGAATGCGTAAATAAGTAGAACAACAAATTAATGTTTCTGTCTCTCCTCCTCTCTCTCCCCCTCCCTCCCTCCTTCCCTTCCTCTTTCTCTCTAATACCAGTAAATTTTTTTTAAAAAAAGGTGATGAAGTTAGTTCAACAGAAACAACAGCAAACATTCTACTGCGTTCTACTATTATTGTTGACGTTGTTGAGGCTCAAACACAACATTGTGCTGCTTTAAGAGAATGCTGATTCATCACTAATGGAAATTCTACATATCCATTTATTTACTCTTTCAAATGTCTTCTGAGCCCCGATCATAAGCCAAGTGATGTACTGGGGATGAAACAATAATAAAAACACAAACCCTGTCCTCCAGGAACTTTTTAAGAAGATAGATAGATAGATAGATAGATAGATAGATAGATATAAACAAAACATAGTACAGCCATATACAAACATAGCAAAATGATGTGATATGCTAAAACAGAAGCTGATGTGCTATAGGAAGATACAGGAAATAAAGCATAGTGACCAAGAGAGGAGATTGCTAAGCTAAAGTTCCCAGAAGGAATGCAGTTTGATCAGTAAATACAGGAAAAAATACTTAACAAGATACTAAATTTTTTCACAGATGTTCTGTGAAAAGAGAATTAACTGTGAATCCATGGAACCTAAAATTAAGATAGAAATTCTTAACATGGAATCATGAAGGGGCTCTCGGGGGGTCCACGAACTTCCTGAAATTACCTCTGAAATTACAGTATGAATGTACAAATAGACATTTTTCTGAACACAAAAATTGTATCTTTCATTACATTCTCAAAGGTAAAAAACTGTTTCACTAGGATCTTATACTAAAACCCACTTTTCTATCTGTATGAGAGCAGAGTTTTAAGAACTAACTTTTCACTGTACTCAACACAGGAGATCTGGGTAGCCTATAGGTCAGAGAAGAGCTACTGAACTTTCCCTAACTTAGTGAAAAAAAAGCAATTGCTGAAAAGAGGGCACCGAGAGTCCTTTCCATATTCTAGTTGAAGTTAGCTTAAATATATTTCCCCACATACTCAGATACCATGGTGACAGGCATCATATAAATAGACAGTGGCAGCAGGGAGTAGGTCAAGACTTATATAAAACCAACATATCAGGCAGAATTAAATCCCTAACCAACACAGCTGGATTCTCCTTGTCCATTAGAAAAAGCCTGTGAATTCCATATAAGAATTTACATAGGGTCCTGGCTGGTGTAGAGCATTGTCCCACAGCCAAAGAGTTGCAGGTTCAATTCCCAGTCAAGGTGCATGCTTGGGTTGGAGGTTCGATCCCTGGCCTGGGCGAGTGTGATCCCTGGTCTGGGAGCGAATAGGAGACAGCCAATCAATGCTTCTCTCTTGCATTGATGTTTCTTTCTCTCCCTCCCTCCCTCTCTAAAGACAATGAAAAGATGTCCTCAAGTGAAGATTTTAAAAAAAAAAAAAAAAAAAAGGAATTTATATAGGGACCTTTCCCCCAAAACAAAAAGGTACCATAATCAACAGCATAGAAATACAAGTAAAAATCACCAATCGAAGTACAGTGATACTAAACACTCACACTCCCAATGACAAAAGGCATTTGGACCCGAGCCAACTGCTTCACAGACACCCAAGGACTTCTGTGTGTCCAATCTAACAACACATATGCCTTGCCAATCTCATTTATAAATAAAATTCAATTAAAGTTTGTAGCACATGTATGGCAAACATCTATATACATAAGCATATTTGCCATTAAAAGTCTTCACACACCTCCCTCAAATCCCTAAGTCTAGAAGGCAAAGAAAGAGTGAAAACATGGGCATACCATCATAAGAGAGGTGGCACTAGCCAACGAGTGGGTGGATCCACCAGAGCCACATTTATATTCACTGATTGCAATATTATGCATTATTATGGGCTCTGATACATCACATGTAGTATAATATTTTGCAGCTTTCCTTAACACCTGCTGCTCTACATCTCACTGTATACTCCGTGTACGAACACAGGGAACCAGGGTTCCAGAAGGACTTATCCAGTCTCTATAAGAAAAGGAGCGAACCTCACTTGGCAGAGAGCTCTAGTACAAAAGCCTATGCCTTAAAAGCAGGCAGTCACCCAGGGTCTCACTAATGACACTCATATATACCTCCTCTCAACCTACCAAGGGTCTTACAATGCCGATCGATCAGTCCTAAGACAGCTCGTAATTACTGTAGAAACAGAGGTGACATCACACAAACTACTCAACAACATAAAGTCAACTGACCAACATAGAATGGTCTCCTGCCCCATAATTTCCTAGCCATAATGGGGAAATGTTAAGAGCCAGAAAAGAAATAAAGACATTTTTAAATTTCTTTAAAAGATAACTGCCTCTTTAAACAAAACGATGGCAATGCATGGTGGGGTTTCTAACCTATGCAAAAGTAAAATGTATGACAACAATAGCACAAAGGACAGGATACAAGGTAGAGGCAGGAGGGCAATGAGAAGCCCAGGGCCCCAGGGAGACAGCCAGAGTGAACAGCAGAAGGCAATATAGAAAGGCAATGGAATAGGGCAATGAGGAAGAGGACAACAGATGATGAGGATGGGAAAAGAGCCAGAGAAATCCCAGAAGCCAGGGAAGGGAGAGCTAGGATGGAAGAGAAAGAAAATAGAATTAAAAAAAATAAAACCAGAAAAGAATCAAAAGCAAGCAGAAACAACTATTACCACCAACTCTTCAGTACTACAATGTATAACTTCATCCCAGCTACATACATGAACCATTTGTACTCCTAAATTCTATAACTGTACCAACATCCACAGATTTGCATCATTTTCATGTTTCTCTCTAATCCTAAATTTTCAGAGGCCTAACAATCACATAATTAACTATCCAAAGGCAACCACAGCAATCCTTTATATTAAAAAGAATTGTTCTACTCTGACTGATCTGGCTCTCACTTGGTTGGAGTGTCATTCCATAACTGAAAGGCTGCCCATTTCATTCCCAGTCAGGGCACATACCTAGGCTGCTGTTTCGATCCCCAGTTAGAGTGCATGCAGGAAGCAACCAGTCGATGTTTCTCTCTCCCTCTTTCCCTCCCTTCCTCTCTCCTCTTCCTCTCTTCCCCTCTTCCCCTCTCTCAAATGAGAATAAAATAAAAATAAAAACCTTCAAAAGAAAAACAATTATTCCTACCAAAGAAATTCTATTAACTTCAGTCATTTCTATCTTTTGATCTGTCTTTAGCTCTTCTGACATTTCCTCATTCTGAAACTCTCACACAATGTCTTTTATAAAATACAAAAATGCCACTATTGTCACTTAGTGTTATTTTCCTATTCCTGCTTCACCATCTAGGCAGTAACTGCAAAGATCTTGCCAATCCATTAATTAAAGATCTCTACTTTCCATTATGGAGGACTAAATTTAGAAAGCCAAATTGGGTTGGGAGGAAACTACATGTCACAACAAGTGAGAAAAATTCCATGGAAGGGGGCGGGGTTACTGGCCCTTTTCTTAAAAAGCCTCTGACACCCTCCTCTGCTGAGAACACAGAGAAGCTCTCCCACGGGTGGGGCAACCATTCATCACTATAATTATCTGGAGAAGACTTTATTGTACCATCAGGTCAAGAAAGCCACAGGACCTATCAGCAAGTGAATGCCTCAGGGAACATGTCTCTCCTCTGCTTTCCTTTAAGCTCCAATTTAATTGCACCAGAGAAAGGGGTAGCAAGCCAGCATTAATTGTACCCTTAGAGAAGAGTCACTTCCCGCCTGCAGGGATGGCAGTGACTTTACTGGGCTACCAAAAGGATACAAAGAGAAAAGTAAACACTGTAATTTGCTGTTTTTGTCTCTGGCACAGGGGGAGTGGTACAATTGACACTGTCTGTAAACAGTAATAATGCCAGATGTAACACAAAGAACAGGATTCCCCCATCTCTCCGCCCCCTCTACACCCCCTCTCCCTGTGACATTCCTCCTGAGATTACTCATCTTGAAGAAACACACAGAAGCCTCCCGATAGTCCATATGCTGCCACCAAATGGAACCGAGGAAGAATCCAAGTTTGTACTGACTCCTCTCTCTTACTCATAAGAAGATACATTGGAACTCAAGAAATAGTCAATTGTTTCTAACAGCTGACCAAAAAATGGAGAAGAGGGAATAAGAGATAAACTATGGAATAGATATGTGACATGCCCAGGTCTGGATTAGACAAGGCTAAAATGACAAAATAAATAAATAAATAAATGAAAATAGAAGCATCCTAAACGAACTAAAAAGTTAAAAAATTTTTTTTCATTTTATGCCCAGGCCTAAGGACTCATAAAAGATAAAGGAAAACAGGATGAATTAAAAAGAGAAAGTTACCTGACCAGAGTTCCCGCCAGGTGTAATGCAGGCGTACTCTACACTTCTTCTGGTAGCAAAGTAGCTTATGTACTACCTGAATGCAGCGTCTGTAACAAAGAAAAGGAAAAACTGGGGTAAGCCTAAAAATATGGTACAACTCACCAAAGATGCCCTTTCTTTAATGAGGCAGCTTTGCTAAGGCAACTAAAGATGCTGGATATGAATCTGTACATATATAAAAGAACTTCTACTGGCAGCCTTAAAGTGGCTACATATCTCCCCCAACATACACATACATACATATACTGCTTGCACTAATTCCCCTTTTCAGGAGGAAAAAGGGGCTTTGACCACATATATATTCAATGGTCAATTAGGCACTACTGATACCATTCCCTTGAGTATCTTTCCTTGGAAGAAGAATGGACCAGAATTAGATTACTGCATTCAAATTTGTAAACACAGGCCAAAATCACATTAAAGATCCTAAGTCTTTAGATCTATTTAAACATTTTTAATTTAAATTAAAATTTAAATATATTTATATTTAATTGATTTGTAGTTAAATTTTAATTACATTAAAAGTTAAATTAAAAATTCAGTTCTTCAGTTGCACTAACCACATATCAAATAGCCATATATGGCTAGTGGCTACTATATTTGACAGCATAAATATAGAACTTTTCTATCGTCACAAAAAACTCTATTGGACAGTGCTGTTCTAGATCACAGGAATATTCAACAGTATTCACATCCCAACAACACATGTGGTGATTGTAGAGTTGGGGGGAGAGGTAGAAGAGGGTATGGGGGAATAAATGGTAGTGGAAACAAAATACAACAAAAATATATAAATTTTTAAAAAAGAATTATCTCCCCAAAATTTGTACTTAAAAAAAATAAAGATCAGAGCAGAAATAAATGACATAGACACTAAAAAAATAAAATACAAAAGATCAATAAAATCAAGAGCTGGTTCTTTAAAAAGATAAACAAGATTGACTAACCTTTAATCAGATTCATCAAGAAAAAAAGAGAGAGGGCACAAATAAATAAAATCAGAAATGAAAGAGAAGTGACAACTGACTCCACAGAAATGCCAGGGATTGCAAGAAAATACTACATGCCAACAAATTAGACAACCTGGGCAAAATAGATACATTCCTAGAAACATACAATCTTCCAAAACTGAATCAGAAAGAATTAAAAAACCTGAATAGACCAATTACAACTAACAAAATTGAAGCACTAATCAAAAAATTCCCAGCAAACAAGAGTCCTGGACCAGACAGCTTCACAGGCAAATTTCACCAAACATGCAAAGAAAAACTAACACCTATCCTTCTCAAACTATTCCAAAAATTTCAAGAGGGGGAAAGACTCCCAAGTTCGTTCTACACAACCAGTATTATCCTAATTCCAAAACCAGATAAAGACACCACAAAGAAAGAAATTTATAGGCCAATATCCCTAATGAACACAGATGCCAAAATCCTCAACAAAATATTAGCAAGCCAGATCCACCAATACATTAAAAAAATCATATACCTTGGTCAAATGGTATTTATTCCAGGAATGCAAGGTTGGTACAATATTTACAAGTCAATAAATGTGATATATCTCATAAACAAAATGAAAGATAAAAATCACATGATCATATCAATAGATACAAAAAAACATTTGCTAAAATCTAGCACCCATTTATCTTTAAAAAAAAAAAAGAAACTCTCAGCAAAGTGGGACTAGACGGATCATACCTCAACATACTTAAGTCATATACGACAAACCTACAGCCAATATGACAATCAATCAGCAAACTAAAAGTGTTTCCCTTAAGATCAGGAACAAGAGAGGAATATCCACCTTCACCACTCAACATAGTACTAGAAGTACTAGCCATGGCAATCAGACAAGAAGAAATAAAAGGCAACCAAATTGGAAAGGAGAAATTAAAAATGTCATTATTTACAGGTAACATGACATTGTACATAGAAAACCCTAAAGATTCCACTGAAAACAGTTAATTTTGATGTCAACAGTACTTGTCTTTTTGGGGTTGTACAATGACAGGTGAATTCTGTCCTTTCTCTTTTTCTATTTCCTCCAAATTTTCTACAATTATATTTTACTTCTACAGCTAAAAATCCACCATTTAAAACAAATTCATTTATAAATATGTTAACATCCTCTAGAAAAGGACACTAAGGAACTTTTTAGAGAATAGAAATGTTTTCTATTTTTATCTGGGATCATTGTTTACAAGGATACATGCATGTGTCAAAAGTTTTCAGACTTTTTCCACTGCAATTCTGTCTATAATTCCTTGGCAATGGGGGTCTAGAAACACAATGGGCAAATCATGAGAGAATAATATGGAGAGAACTAGTATGTTAATCTGTGAACCAAGAATATAAATTCTCAAGGATTAACTCATTTTAGGAAATGACAGAGTAAATATCCCTCTACTTTTGTTAAAGGGGGAGGGAGTCAATGCATAAAACAAAAACTTTGGCTATGGTGAGGAAACAGAGAAAATAGAGCCCCTCATACATTGCTGGTGGAAATGTAAAATGGTACCACCACTTTGGAAAACAGTTTAGAAGTTCCTCAAAATGTTAAACATAGTGTACTATATGACCCACCAATTTCACTACTAGGTACATACACCAGAAAAACAAAACATACATCTACACTAAAACCTGTTTGTGAATGTCCATAGGATCATTATTCATAATAACCAAAGGTATAAACAACCTGATATCTATCGACTGAAGAATAAAAAAAGTATGTCATTTAGTTATACAATGGAATACAAATTAACCATAAAAAAGAATGAAGTACTAATACATGCTACGACATGGATGAAACTTGAAAACATTATGCTAAGTAAAAGACAGTCAGCCCTGGCTAGTGTGGCTCAATGGACTGAGCACGAGCCTGCGGACCAAAGGCTCATCAGTTCGATCCCCAGTCAGGGCACATGTCTGGGTTGTGGGCCAGGCCCCCGGGGCGGGGGGGAGACATGTGACAGGCAACCACACATTGATGTTTCTCTCCCTCTCTTTCTCCCTCCCTTCCCCTCTCTCTAAAAATAAGTAAATAAAATCTTAAAAAAAAGACAGTCAAAGAAGGTCATGTATTATATAATCTCATTTACATAAAGTGTCCAAAATAGGCAAATATATACAGAAAGCAATTGGGAAGGAAGGGGCGGGCAGTGGAAACAGAGGTCCAAAGCTTGGACTATACCCCACTGAAGCTCCAGCCTCATCACACAAATCAAAAATTAAGAAGAAACATCAGATCTATCTTTTCATTGCATTTCATTTTATTCAACAAATATTGACTGCATATCAACTAAACATCCAGCACTTCAAGCTCCTGGAAAGTAGACCCAAATAACCTGCTGATTTCAGGCAAATGAAAGAGACTCTTCCTTTTGAAACTGTTCTGACATAAAAGAAGGAGGTTGGCAAAACAAATACAGGAGATAAAATAAGCAAGGCAAAAGGGCATAGGAAAAAAGCGGCTCCTTTCTACTTAATATGCCTAATTGCAACTCAAGTATATGGCAGCTTCAAGTAAAGAATACTTCTAGAGGCAGGACTGAAACTTTCACAGGATCCATAGCTTTAATCTGAGACGAAAGGTATCCTGAGATCCTACTAACTTGAGCAGATACCATATCAATCTGTAAGATATCAATCTGACAGTTCACAAAATCAAGCAAAAACGGGGTGAGCTAATTTCTTGGGCCTCTTAGCAGAGGTGAAAAGAAGAAGGCAAGCCCTGGCCCAGTAGCTCTGTGGGTTAGAGCATTGTCCTGATATGCCCAGGTTGTAGGTTGGATCCCCAGTCAGGGCACATACAAGAGGCAACCAAGAAATACATAAATAAGCAAAACAACAAATCAATGTTTCTCTCTCCCCTGCTTCCTCTTTCTCTCTAGAAACAATTAAAAGAAGGAGGAGGAGAAGGAGCAAGAGAAAGAGGAAAGGAGGCAAAACAGAAAATAAACAACTTTAAAAAACCGCTACAAACCTTGCTGTGGAGTGAGAGCCAAAGACACTAGCTAGAGAAATCAAAGTGCCTGATGACATATCAAAGACACAAATGAAGTAAATTAAATTTGCAAGTTAAAATCCTGAAAGTTGTAAAAAATATGCCCAATAATGGGCCTTCTCTGCAACCTTACTTGCCTATTCTCCTTGTCCCTTATTTATATCTCTCTGTTCTTCCCATGTCCTGTACCTCTAAGTAGGAGCCTTTAGGATAGAATTTTATGAGAGAAATATGTAACAGACCTTTCTCAAAAGACTTCAGTATCTTCAAGAGTGATATTAAAAATACTTTGCACACCATACAGAAATATAAATGAATATATAAATCAATATATACATAAAAATTTTTTAAATTCCTTTATTCTCTAAACTGTATCAAAACTAATTACCACTACTAAGACAGGGAGTCAAAGAAGCTCTACCTAATACACAGAAACAAACACAGGGAGGCTGCCAAACTGAGGAGACATAGAAGCAAGGCCTAAATTAAAGGACAGAACAAAACCCCACAAAAAGCACTAAACGAAATGGAGATAAGCAACATAGCAGATGTGGAGTTCAAAACGCTGGTTATTAGGCTCAAAGAAACCACTGAGTACTGCAACAACATAAAAAAGACACAGGCAGAAATGAAGGCTACATTGAGTGAAATAAAGAAAAATCCACAGGGAACCAACATTGGAGGGGATGAAGCCAAGATTCAAATCAACAATTTAGAACATAAGGAAGAAATAAGAACTCAACCAGAGCAGCAAGAAGGAAAAGGAATTAAAAAAAAAGAGAGAGGATAGTATAATGAACACCTGGGACATCTCCAAATATACTAGCATCTGAATCATAGGAATGCCAGAAACGGAAGAGGAGGAGCAAAAAATTGAAAACTTATTTGAAAAAAATAATTAAAGAAAACTTCCTTAGTATGGCGAAGGAAAGAGACAAACAGGGCCAGGAAGCAGAGAGAATCCCAAACAAGTTGGACCCAAAGAGAACACACATAATTAAAATGCTAAACGTTAAAGATAAAAAGAGAATCTTAAAAGCAGCAAGAGAAAAAGCAGAGAGTTACCTACAAAGGAACCCCCATAAGACGGTCAGCTGATTTCTCAAAAGACTTTAAAGGCTAGAAGAGACTGGCAAGAAGTACTCAAAGTGAAGAAAAGTAAGGACCTGCAACCTAGATTATTCTATCCAGCAAAGCTATCATTTAGAGTGGAAGGGCAGATAAAGTGCTTCCCAGACAAGGTAAAGCTAGAGGAGTGCATCATCACCAACCCATTATTAGATAAAATATTCAAGGGACTTATTTAAGAAAGAGAAGATCAAAACTATGAACGTTAAAACGGCAGTAAATTCACAACTGTCAACAATTGAGTCTAAAACACTAACTGAGCAAACAATCACAACAGAAACAGCATCATAGATATGGAGATCATTTGGAGGGTTACCAGTTGGGAGGGGGAAAGGGGGAAAGGGGAAAAGGGGGCAAAGGTGCAGAGATTAAGAAGTACAAATTGGTAGGTACAAAATAGGCAGGAGCATGTTAAGAACAGTATAGGAAATGGAGTAGCCAAAGAACTTATATGCATGACCTATGGACATGACCTAAAGGAGGGGACTGCTGGAGGGAATGGGGGTACTGGGCAGAGGGGAGCAAAGGGAGAAAGATTGGGTGTAATAGCATAATCAGTAAAATATTTATTTTTTTAAAAAAACTACTTATCAAGAGACATAAATTATAGTATAAATCATCCTAACAGTTTCCAAATCATTTGTTCATTTTTAGAAATTATGGTATAATCTCCTGTTTGATGTGGTTGTCACTAGCTACAGGATGCCATGATTTACCTTAGGAATATACAAACTCTCCTGTCAATTTCCCCATTAAATCAACAGTCACTAGGTCCCTGGTGCTCAAAGCTTTGTTACAGCCAGCAAGCATAGCTGGATGCTGCCCATGTAGGACCACCCATGCATAGTACATTCCAGTATGCCAGCATTTCTTATATGGCTTGGATCTAGACAGCCTGCCTGCTTGTCTGTCCTCCCTCTCTCCCTCCCTCCCTTCTTTCCTTCCTTCCATTCTTCTTTCCTTATAAGCACCTTTCCCCATTATTAATTTACCTACATCATTTACACACAGATGTGAAATTATTTCATTTCTGACCCAGATTCTGGCTTGAGTATCAAGTGTTTCTATACTCCATATTTCTTCCTATTTCACCATGAGGATTATAAACTTACCTGAAATGGCAGAAATTCATTTTGCTTTCAACTTCTCATCTGCTGTATGCTGCTGAAAAGCAGTGCATAATGAGAAATAGACCAACAACCTGGCCTAATGCCCAGCAGGGAGCAGATAAGTTCACCTGAAAAGGACTTGATGCTCCAAATTCCAAAGAGTGGAAAGAGGATTGGGGGAGGAGGGGAGGAAGATCTAGAAATATACCCATGGGTAGGAATGAAGAAAGTGAATTCAGCCTGAGGGTGGGACCTTTTGCCCAGCCTCTGTCAGCTTGATGCCTCATTATCTTCTCCATGTTCCCTAACCTCAGGACATTAGATTGGGGAGGAGACGGAAAAAGCAACTGAGAGAGCAAGGCAATACAGAACATATTAGGAACTAGGTGGAAAAGGGAATTCAAGTATTTAGTGTAGACCAGGTTCACTGACTGGGACATTAAGGTTCAGGTGGACAGGTACATACCTGTAACTCTATGTACTGAACACACAATCTTATCATGTCATCCCCATCTTCAACTGTTACTCATCATCCACTTAATCTCAAGTAATGTTTTTACTATTCTCCTATCCTTCCTCCATGCACCCTACACTGTAGTCATCCTGAATTACCTTCTATTCTCCAAACATGCCAAACTTCCAAGCCCTTGAACACATTGGTGTGTCTCTCTCCCACTTCCCCACGCAGAAAACTCCAACTATTTCTTTATAACTCAGGTCAAATGCAACAATCTTCTGATATCTTCTCTGATGCCCCAGTCAACATTAGTCACCCTCTGTCACTTATCATAGTAGTGGTTAAGAGTACTTAAGAGTGGTTAAGTGGTCAGAGAGACTTAAGTTTGAATCTTGGTGATGCAACTTATTATGTGTCCAACTGTGGTAGCCAGCCTGCAAAATGGTCCCCAGGGGTCCCCACCCTCCTGACATTCACATCTTGTTTAGTTTCTTCCCACACTGTATCAAGGTTGGTCTGTGTGCCCAACAGAAATGCTATGTCATTTGAGATTAGTTTATAAAAGATTCTATGACTTTCATCCTAGGCTCTGGCTCTTTATCTTTCTCTCTCTCTCTCTCTTGGATTACTTGCTTTGGGGGAAGCCAGCTGCCATGTCAAAGCAACCCTGTGGAGAGGCCCAAGTAGCAAGGGGCTGAGTTTGTCAACAACCATGTTAAGTGATCTCAGAAACACATTCTCTAGCCTTAGTAGGTGCCTGCAGCCCCAGCTAATGCTCTGATTGCAGCCTTGTGAGAAACCCCATGCCTAAATTATCCAGCTAAGCTGCTCCTAGATTCCTGAACCACAGAAACTGAAAAAACACATGTTTGTTTTAAATCACTAGGTTTTGAGGTAGTTTGTTATATAGCAATAGCTAACTAATACACCTGGGAAGGGATGGCAACAGCCTGGGATTTATGGGCTCAAGAATATTTGGGCTCAAGTCTAGGCAATGGTGCTTACTAATAGAATAAACCAGAGCAAAGCACTTCCAGAGCCTGAGTTTCCTTACATGGAAAATGAGAAAACTGAGTCTATAATAATACTACAAAGTAAATAGCATATCCTAAATCTAGAACATAATAAGATAATCAAGCTAGAAATAAAGTCTCTAGCAAAACAAGTCGGATGCCTAAGGTACCGAAGTTCAGAGATCCCATCTAAAATAAGCAGAAAACTTCTAAGTGTTGTAAAAGCAGCTTTTCAGTGTCTTTGAATTGAAATAAAGGATCAGGCTAATTCTAAACACCAAAAAGATATTTTAAAATGCAAACTACAGTTTACTTCCAAAATGTAAACTTTGTATCATTATTTAACACCTAGGACACAATGACTATATAGTTTGCAAGTGGTCTAAAAAGTTAGAGGTCTACTCTATTCCGAGAAAAATTCCTTATATTCCCTAGATCCTTTATGGCATTAGAATGAGGTACACAGAGCCTCCTTCCTATGCACCAAACTGCTCTCTTGCTCAAAAAAATGGAGGTACCAATTCTGTAGTCAGACTCAATTCAGATGCTTTTTAAGGAATAACTGTAATACACAATACATATTTGGGATCACTCTAATGTGGCACAGCTGTTCTTGAATATTAAAGATAAGAAGAAAGCAGAAAACAGCAAAGGAGAGAGTAAGCCTTAAGGCTTAAACTTTACTAAAATATGATTTTCAATTGCCTCTAGTTGTATTGGTTGTTAAGAATTGTGAGAGACAATCAGATCTCATTAGGAGGAAGGAATCTCCTCCTAATGTATATAGCCAGGCTACTATATACATAACCCGCCTATTTAGCAGAGACTAGACAATGTAAGCTAAGAACGGACAAGAGGCTCTAACTCTCTGGCCTTTCCCTACCTTCTAATTACTGCTGATGGTTTTGATGCCAAAGCCCAGGGATGCCTAAGAAATCTGCTAGTATTCCATATATTTGGATTAAAATGGCCACCCATGACCCCATGATCTTCAGAGCATCAGCCCTGCTCCTCATGCGATGCGCCTACAAGTGATAATGAAGATACATGCAGAATCCAAATTGTGCTTTATTATATTGTACTTTTTCTCCCTTCTGGAAAGATGTATAATAAATCTAGGCCATAAAATGCTCCCTGACACTTCTCCACATACAAATCTGTTTTTCCTGAAGTAAAGTATACATAAAAATTTTGCTATAAATTTCCTATCACTCAACTCTATAAAATAGATTTGCACACATTAAATGAACCATGGTACTTACACATAGAGATCCATAGGAAACTCCTTCATCATGTGCGTTACAATAAATTCTACCATCAGGTCTGAATGGGGAAAAGAGAAAAATTAAATCAATCAAAATGAAATTCATTCCTTGTCTGTGAGTTAGAAGCAACTGTCTGGATATACCTTGCACTTGTGCTGAGTGTCATTCACTAAGCACATTTTTATTCACAAGTGCTTAACCTTATTTTATCTAAGGCACTTTTGCAACACTTTTTACCACCTGCCGCTTGTAAAGTAACAAGAAAATTAGCTCACTCTCCTACTTCCGGAAGTATACCTTGACCTGCCAATAAATCCAGATACAAGGGAGATTTCAGTGTATGGATATTTCTACCATGGTACTAATACAAAATGCCAGAGGGAAATCATATTCCGAGAACAGAGCTATGAGGCAAGCAGAGAAGAAATTATGGATCACATCCATGTAACCAGAAACTCAGCTCTAAAGCTATGTCTATCTCATCTCACTATCATGCTCAGTTTGACAGGTATTGACTAAAATGGTCTGTGGGGCTTTGAGTCATTAGAAGTTTATTAAATAGTCTTAATCACTGGTTCTAAAATCAAGAATGTTGGAACTAGGGCTGAATATCCAAATGAAATGGAATTAAGAGTTCAGATCATTCCCCTGAGGAAAATGCAGCATTCTGACAAAATTACCTAAGACACAGCCCCCTACCTGTTAGCTCTGTCAGCCTCATCTCAGCTTAATTTACTCAGAGGAAGTTTTGCATGTCTTGAACCTTGAACTTCGAAGCCTCCTGGCCAGCTGACACATCGATATGAACCAAGAAAGGGAGGGGAGAATCTAAAATCTTGATCAGGAGTAAAATATTTGACAAATGTAAATCATGTATCAAGCTTAGATTTAGCCTTTTGTCTCCTTAGAGAGATCTTTTCCTTTGAACAAGAGCACCCTTTAGTTGAGCATTCACCAAATTTAACAAAAAACAAGATTTCTTAGGCCAGGAAAGAAATATAACTACCAAACACTTCTCTGAGGAAGAAGTATATCAGCCAGAATCTAAACCTCATCTTAATGATGAAAACCTGTGACTGACTCAGAACAATGCCAATTATGATGACACTCACCCAGTACTGCACATACTAAAGGACGGCAGGGAAGGTTCTTGTCTGCTGCCTTCTTCCTGTGTCTCATAGGCTTCAAATAAAAAAAGAAATAAAATTAATAGGCCCCTGAACTGGTATCCAATGGCTCATCATCATGGTTTTCATGCACATAAAATCACTACTATAGCCACGGCCGGTGTGGCTCAGTGGACTGAACACAAATCTGCAAACTGAAAAGTCGCAGGCTGGATTCTCCTTCGTCAGGGCACATGCCTGGGTTGCGGGCCAGGTCCCCCGGTTGGGGCATGCGAGGGGCAACTATTAGATGTTTCTCTCCCTCTCTTTCTCCCTCTCTTCCCCTCTCTCTAAAAATAAGTAAATAAAATCTTCTTTAAAAAAATCAGTACTATAGAGATGTCACCTTTTCTAGTGGTGGGGGTAGGGTGGGGTGAAGCAGGAAGGACTGGTAAATGTCTCTCAGTTATCAATGCAAACTTGTGATAAAAACACAATTCACAGCAAGACAATAGCCCCAAAGGGTACTGGAGTATACTATACAATGGGAAAGCTGCTGTTTTTACTTCAATTTTATCTATACAAGTGCCATTATAATAAAAGAGGTATAATGGTATTTTTATTTCATAAAATAATAATTAAGGAAAAAAGACAATGTGACTGTGTAGAGGCAGCAAAAGTGATAGCTGCAAAAAACAAAAGTAAGTTGCAGGTGTAAATCTCTACAAGGGAATTTGAACATATCTCCAAATTTTAGAAAATTTCTTGATCCTTCCTGTTCTATTTCCCCTCCCCACACCATGAATAAACAAAGTAATATCTAGTCTTAACTAATCAAAGATTATACTACATTTTGAAAACAAAAGGCTTAGGCCTTGTTGAAATCTATGTTACTGATACATCCTAAAATTACTACCATGAATATCTGGTTGTGGATCTTTCCATCCTCTCTTGAGTAAGAAACTCCATGACACATAAAAAAAAATCCCCAAAACAGGCATGGGTCTAATGAACAGCAGTCACAAGAGCCCTTTAACACAACATTCCACCCACATTTGTTCTAAGAGGGATCAATTTCATCCTCCCCAATTCTGCCAACACACAAAAAATTTCCTCTAAGAAAAAAACAAGAAACAAGAGTCATACCTACCATTTTATGTAAGTTTACTCGAAAATTCATATTGTCATCATGCAAAAATGCATTGGCATACTGATCCTAATAAAAATAACAATATAGGGGAAAAGTAAAGAATGAGAGCTATGCTTTAGAAATTCAGTTTATAATCTATCACACCTCCTACAAATCTTTGGACTTCAAGAACTACTTTTGAGGATTAGTTGGAATGCTAATGAGGTGAGCATAGAGCCCTATGTCAAACCCTACTTATGAGGGAGGACCCAGAAAAACCAGAATTATCTTCTAGAGGAAAGGCCCCTTGTACTAAAGGCTTTCCCCACTAAATGAGTGTTCTATGAACCCATCTGTATCAGTGTACCAACTGGTGTTGTTGTAAGACGCTGTGTTCAGCTTCAGTGAATTTTTTTTTTGAAGACTCAACACGTTTTCCCATTTCATGATGGGTGACTTATTAGCACAAGAGAAAAATGGCATGACCCCTGGGCCCCACCCTCCCTATTCACTTAATCCCCTCTTCCCCTCCCCAAAGTGACTTCGTTTGGTTTCCCCACAAGAAAAAGGTCCTCAAAGGGAAACATTTTGCCAATGTGGAAGAGGTGAAACAAAAAATAACAGAAGCACTAAAAGGCATCAAAATTAAGTTAAAAAACTGTTTTAGGCAGTGGAAAATGTCTGGATAGGCACATTGCATCAAATGGAGTGTAGTTTAAAGGTGACTGAAGTTTAAACATGTAGGAATAAATGCACAATTTTTAATAAATAAGTTTTGTGTTTTGGGGGTTCCTCCCTTGTAAGCCATGAGACTTTACTTTGGACTATTTCTCAGTGTCCCTAACTAGTCAAACATCTCGAAGCAAATTACAAACAATAAAAATTAAGGCCCAGGTGGCCCAGGTGGCTCAGTTGGTTGGAATGTTGTCCCATATACCAAAAGATTGCAGGTTCAATTCCCAGCCAGGGCACATACCTAGGTTGCACATTTGATCCCCTGGCTGGGCACATACAGAAGACAACCAATCAATGTTTTCTCTCACATCGATCTCTATCTCTCTCTCCCCCCAACCCCAACTACCTCCTTTCCCTCTCTCGCTCCTTTCCTCTTTCTCTAAAATCAATAAACATATCCTTGGGTGAAGGTTTAACAAAAGAAAGAAGTGAAAGCACAGGGACTTGAGGAAAATGCTGAGAGGAACTTATTTTCCTATTCTCTTCCCAAGGAGCCTGCTCTGTTTGTTAACAGCTTAAAGGTTTTCATGGGGGCTGCAGGATACAAGTGCAGGCTCCACATGAGGATCTGCAATTGAGAAGAAAGGTCTGCAGTCCACAGGGAATGGGCTTGGCATAGCTGGAGAAAAAGCACCACAGGCAGCATGGCAGTATGCAAGACCTCGTCTGTCTCTGGCTTCCCTGAAGACTGATGGGAAATCAAAAATCTCTCACCATGAATCAGTAATAAACATCCCTTGGCCCTTCCCCAGCACCTTAGCTAAAGATCTGATATGCCTACAGACACCAATTATTAAGAACCATTACAATTTGTGAAAAACAACTCCTTTAAAGATTTTCTTAGAAAGATTTTTGAAAAGCAATGACACCAGGCCCACTGCTAATCAGCAGCTCTTCTATAACCAGCTATCTTTACCTGGTGAGAAGCAGGTCATCTTTTCACAGAACACATAAAAAGGGAAAGACTGAGAGAGATCTCTGTCTACCCCTCATGGACTACCTTTACTGTTTTAATGATGGGGAAGGTTGAAGCTACAAATTTAGCTCTAAATTGACTCAAGTTCTGCCACATCTGTGTTGTTGCCACGAAGATTCAGGGTGAGTTCAGGCCTAATTAATACAAGCAAAAGTAGCACTTTACAAAGCCAAAGCATCTCTTTAAATCCTCAGGTTCTTATTCAACAAGCTGCACTCAGCCCAACTTCACTCACTTTCCAAGGGCCCTTCTTTGGCTTTTCTCTCCATCTCCCCCTACAGGAAACCTGAGCTCCTTTTTTCGTTTTGGGAAACGGAAAAGATCCAACATGAGCATCTTCAAAGGGGCAGAATTATTTTTTTTTAACTTTTTAAAGAAATTTTTATTGTTCAAATACATTTGTCTTCATTTTCCCACCACCACTTTCCCCTGCCCCACCCACTCCTACCTCCCACCCTCAATCATTTCCCACTTTGGCTTTGTCCATGGGTCCTTTATACATGGTCCTTGATTTGACCCTTCCCCTTCTTTTCCCTGTTACCCTCCTCCCTCCTTCCCTCTAGTTACTGTTGGTTTGTTTTTCCTTTCATTGTTGCTGGTTATATTTTTCTTGCTTGTTTTGTTGATTAGGTTCCACTTATAGGTGAGATCATATGGTATTTGTCTTTCACCCCCTGGCTTATTTCGCTTAGCATAATGCTCTCCAGTTCCATCCACCCTGTCTTGAAGGGTAGTAGCTCTTTCTTTCTGCAGCGTAGTATTCCGTTGTGTAAATGATCCACAGTTTTTTGATCCACTCATTTACTAATGGGCACTTACATCGCTTCCAGCACTTGTAAATCGTGCTGCAATGAACATCAGGGTGCATAGGTTCCTTTGAATTGGTGTTTTGGGATTCTTAGGATATAATCCCAGCAGTGGAATTGTTGGTCAAAAGGCAGTTCCATTTTTAGCTTTTTGAGAAAATTCCAAACTGTTTTCCACATATTTTTTCTAAAGAGGGTTAAGTCTGTTGTTTTAAACTAGTAAGAGCTACAATCTTCTAGTTCTCAATTATAGCAGTTATCATATAATTCAATATTAATTCATACAGTAAATACTAATTGAGCCTCTACTATGTGTCAGACACTGAGAATAGACTGGTGAAGGAGACAAAATACCTATCATTAGAGCTTACATTCTAGTGGGAGAAGAGAGGGCACATTTTCTCTCCCAAGCTTTAGGACCCTAATGTCAGGAGCTGGGCAAGAAGGGCAGAAAAAGATAGCACTTGAAAGAAATTAGCTAATACCAGAAGATTGTTGAAACCTACCTCTGCAATACACGTAAGGATAATCAGACAGAGTTTGCCACTGTGAAGCCGGTGCTCATCTGTAAAATAAAAATAAAACCCTTTTCCATAAATCATCCAGACCACATTTCTATAGAGGATAATGATGTGTATCATCAAAAAGAAAATTCGCACTTTCTTTCCCCACTCACACTTTCTTTCCCCACATAATTCATAAATGAAATTCAAGGTTCACTAGAGTTAATTCTTGCTTTTTTTCTAGGCAAAACAATTCCCCCAAGAGATTTTTTTCCTAAACATTCTGATTGACAGCTAACCACCTTCCTGGGAGCCATCTAATTACTGTAATGGTTCTATTGTCATGGCCCAAATCAGAGCCATGCCCTTTGCTTCCATGTCAGCCCTTTGCTTCTCAATAGTCAGGTCCATTCCCTTTCCAACCCCTCCCCATCCACCAGGTATAAGCACTATTATCTATCCTCACCTAACCCTTCATAGCAAATTGGTAGTGGAATCAAAAAGAAACTAACTGGAGACCAGGGTCTGGCTCATGCTTCTCCTTATACTGTGTACACTGTTTACAAACATGAAAGCTAGGAATTCTTGACCATTTTTCTTCCTGCTAAAATCATCCAATCTATCGTACTTACTTAGTACCTACTATGTAGCAGGCACTAGAGATATAGCACTGAACAACAGAAAGGACCCTGGTCTCCCAAAACTCACATTCTAGTTAATAAAGAAGAAGGAAACAACCTCAACAGTACGGCTCTAAGCCCACATTCATGACCAAGAAAGAGCTACACCATACTCTCCAATTACCAGAATCATCAAAGCTTATTTACTTTCAAGGATCTCTGTGAGTGAAGGAGTGAAATGGAGGTAAGAAGAGGGTCATACCAGCTCATCCAAAATAGACAAATGGCTTATGATGTTTCAAATTAGCTCTGTCAGGGTCCAGACCTAAGTTCATTCTGGAGAGAAGATCTATTAACAGATTACAGTACCATGAAAGTGAGCTAACAGTATTCACCCTAACATTAACCTGCTACTTCCTCAAAGATGGAATCTATTAACTGAAACCTGACAATTAGAAATCATAATGGGGGTCATAGTGCAGAAATACATTCTCCTCTACTTACAGATAGGCAGGGAAAAAAGAGTAATTATGACAATCCGTACCTGACACTCCCCAGAGCTGACACCAGAGCCCCTAGGCATTCAGAGAAGTGCCACTGCCCTTGCAAATCATGACACTCTTCTACTTGTACCTTGGCCACAGAGCTCCTCTGGCATTATTCTCCCTTCCCCCAAAATCTGATAAGCAATTCCCATAGGAAATACTGTAACTACTTTGCCACTTAAAAAAAAAAAAAAAAAGTTTCTGAATGCAAACATAAAGTATATTGCATTATAAACATTTTTTAATTTAGAAAAGGACAACAAAAACCAAGTTTAATCATACCACCCAGATGTCATGTCTGTTAAGACTGATGAATCAACTTGAAATCTATATATAGATAAACATGTATTTTTAAATATTTTTGCCTAATGTCTATTTTCAAGGTGAAGCAGACTCTCCTTTAAGCTGACAACGCTAAGTCAGAAGAATCTCAGGAAAAAAAAACAAAGACTTTGAAAATAGAGCCAAATCAAGGGAGAGATAAACACTAAATTATGGAGAATTGAGGAGAAAAGGAGTGACTGGGGAGGGGGAACACAGGTTGCTTCAACAGCATTAATAATTGCTAAGCTGGGTGGTAGGTTCACATATGTTCATTTTATTATTATACATTATAACTTATGCTATTTATTATACTTATAAACTTTATAACAATATTCATATATATTAAAAGTATACATTTTTAAAGTATATTTTATAGGTGTCAAATGACAAAGAAAATAGGGATAATATCCGGGGGTGTGGGAAGACAGGGAGAGCAGAGCCAAGAAAAAATGGCTTCTAGGCTCCTCAAAAAGAGATCTCTTTAGCCAGGGCATGCAGAAGGTCATGAGCTTAAGAGGCAGGAAGAAAGCCAGTCCAACAAGGCTACACTGGAGCCATTTTTGAAATTAATGCTTCCTCATACCTAACCTTACCCCTTGCCATATTTAGGCTGCCTGTTGGCAAAGACCTAATCCAGCCTATGTTTAGAGAGAGCCTGAGGCAACCCATACTGCAATTATTCTGACCTCAATTTTGCCTTCCATTTTATGGATGGCAAAGTGACCAGAACAAAGAGGTTTAAATAATCATTAAGGCTCAAAATGAGTTCCCGGGGCCTCAGTTCACTATATTATATCAAGTAAAGCTAAAAGGTCATTTTCAGGGTCACAACTACAGTCCCTCTTTGCTGCAATATGTCGAGAGAAAGGAAAAGGTTGCCCCTTTGCATAAAGGAGAAGCAATGGCCTCAGGAAACACTGATACACAAGAGTCTAGTTCTCCTTACCTGCCTGACTTCATTTGCCAAGCCTCAGAGATTCACCATCTCTGCAGCTCCCAATGGACTGCTCTATGTTAGGAGTTTGTGGAACGGACTACTAGTATGTATCTCATCCCTGTATGTAACCATCTCTCTTGAAAGAGCACACTCAAGTGTTATAACAGAAGAAAACAATCTAAGTTTGTAAGATGGAAATCTCCAAGAGCTAATACAGTATGTCTGAGTATAACAGGATTTAGATTCTGAACACCCAGGGTCCTTTTAACTCTGGCAATTTATTTCCCACATTTATCTTTTAGTTCTCTCTCTCTGTCTGCCAATGTTTCCTTCTCACTTCAAAAGCCCCCAAACCCTGGTCTTACTCTCTTATACTGCCTTTCAGCTCCATTCTGGAATTCCTGAAAACCATCATACCAGAAAACTGCCCAGCCTGCTTGGCAAATCAGAGCCTTCTAAAGTATACTTTATACCTAAATGAATCTTAAACTACCTGACAAAGCATTAGTCTCTCCTCATGAAAGTAAAGTGACAAAAGTAATACTGTTTTAGCAATTTTACTTCAACGTTGGTTTTTTTGTTATCTAGGAATCTGAAGCTTATCCATGGACCATAACTTAAGAACCCAAACTTCAACTACTGAGCAGACAAAACAGCTGGCTTCTAAAATAGTATTTAAAGATTCTTACGAGAAAGGCTTATAAAGAAAGAATATACACCAAATTGTTAAGAATGATTAACTCTAAAGAGCTTAATTCCAAAGGAATTTCACTTTGTTAGTTAACCATTACTAGAATGTTTTAATTTTTAACAAATACTATTCCAATTACTTTTTTAATCAGGGAAAAAAATCCTTGTAAATGGGAGAAGCCCACTGGATTAACCAGTAGGTACTAAATAAAATGCTATTAAAACGTTACATGTGGTTAAGAAAAACCATCAATTATGAAAACATTTTTGGGATAACTGGGCAAAACTAAATATGGATTGAATATTACATGATATTAGAGAATTGTTGTTGATTTTCTTAGATACAATAATGAATATCTTGGAAAATATCTTTAATTTTGAGATACAAGCCATCTTATTTTAAAATGATTCAGCCAAAAAAAATAACACACAAAGAAATTTAGAGACAAACCAAATCTGGCAAAATGCTAATGGTATATGAATGATCACTGTGTGATCCTTTTGATTTCTGTCTATTGGAATTTTTTTCACTTTAAAAAAATTGGACAAAAAATGCTACATAAAAGGTTTATTTCCAGAGAATCTTAAAACTGCAATATTTTCCACTTATATGAGGGTACCTAGAGTAGTCAAATTCATAAAGACAAAAAGTAGAGTGATGGTTGCCAGGGGCTGGGGAAAGGAGAGAATATGGATAATGGGGAGTTAGTGTTTAATGGGAACAGAATTTCAGTTTCGCAAAATGAAAAGAGTTCAGAAGACAGGAAGACGGTGGTGATGGCTGCACAACAATGTACATGTATTTAATGCCACTGAATGGTAGTCTTAAAATGAAAAAAAAAATGGTAAATTTTATGTATTTTCACCACAATAAAAAATAATAGAAATAAATAAAAATTATGAACACATATATCCAGTATTAAAAAAAGACAAAACTGAGATATATACTGCATAGAATTTGCTGAGTTTCTCCCCCTCCCTTCACACTCCCAGCCCAAAGATTCTACCACCCTACCATTAATTAAAAGACCACAGAAAAATCATAAACAGGAAGAACAGGAACCCAGACAGAATAAACCCAAACTTTCCCATCACCTATTTTTCTCCCACTTTCCACTCTGCGCTTCTGAGATGGGTACTGACACCTCTATTTTAAGTGGTAAGGAACAGAGTCCCTCTGAATCTCACCTCTTCCTACTGTACTCTGTACAACAGTCCTCCACTTCTCACCACAAGCTGGTTCTTTCAGTTCTTGTCCTCAAAAGGGAATTCCCTGAAGTATGCTAACCCCCTACTTCCCACACAAAAGAGTTTGCATCTACTTACCAAAATCTGCTAAGAAGACTTGCTGGTTTTTGCAGAGACCTTTTTTTTCTGTTCTATTTTGGAGCACTCTCCCTCCAGCTCCAGGTTTTTCCAACACCACCTAACTACCACGTGGCAGTGAGAAATCACTGTTTCCCAGTGATCAGGACCATCTCCCTGCACAGGAGGCCCCAATGGTTCATCTTGTGGGAGCTTCAAAGTCTTAATGCTGCTCGATGATTCTAGCTAAGCAGCTGCCTGCCACCCCTCCTGTCTGCCTCCTGAGCCCCCAAAGTAGCATGCCTTACCTTTGGTGTCCTGCATGACAATTGAGCTATACTTTAAGAAGGTTATCAGCAGATTACTGGTTTGTACGTCTGCATCCAGTGGGAGTTCCACAGAACTTATAACTACAATAGAACGATGAAATGCAGTTAGCCTATACTTTTTAACACTTATATCTGCATAACCAATTTGCCAGCAGACAAGAAAATCACTAAGCTTTTTCCACAACACAGGAAGGACCAAGTGCTTAATATAAAACCCTTCTCTAGTCTTCCTAGGCCCCTAGAGCCCTTCCTACTTCGAAGATTAAGCCTAATGCCCATCTATCATATCTTGGAGGGCCAGTCTCCAGGAACAGTGCTTTTCTCCCAACATCCTAAAATGGTGGGGGTTTTTTTACCATTAGAGTTTATATTCAACATTATTTTGTACTAGTTTCGGGTATACAGTATAGTGGTTAGACAATTATATACTCTACAAAGTGTTCCCCCAATATTTCTAGTACTAAAATGGGTATTTTGATTCCACATCTAGCTCCAAGTAACCCAAAATGGTTCAGAGTCCTTCTTAAGGGCATTTTGATTTGTACCTAAGGGGAAGATCTGTATTGAATATAAATGAGTTTTGCTTTGATGAGTCTCCTGCTTAAAATAAATGACAATTCACTCCTAATAAGGGAAAATCTTGTTCAATTTGAGAATAAGCCTTTAGGCTGGAAATACCCAAGATGGAATGAGAAAAAGTTAAGGCAGAACTACATTCACATTGTACTCCTTAATCCCTTCCCCCCAGTGAAAGGGAGCCTAAAAAGAAATACAAAACTGAATATAGGAGGACATTATTGTTTGGGACAGTCTGAGAAATGAGTTTTATACACCTAGCTGCTTGCTATTTGTTTCTAAGAGAAACTACCCTGCCACTGCTCCCACTCTCTGAGCCACAGTCCCAATGAATAGTGAGGGACTAGACCAGGGCTGATCCACACAGACCAATCATATGTAGATTCCTCAAGTTTCTAGGACTTTAAATTAGACCCAGACAGCCCTGGCCAGTGTGGTTCAGTTGGTTGCACATCGTCTGGCAAAGTGAAAACTTGCTAGTTCAATTCCTGGTCAGGGTACATGCCCAGGTTCCAGGTTTGGTCCTGGTCCCACATCGGAGCATAAGTGAAAGTCAGCTCATCAATGTTTCTCTCTCACATCAATGTTTCTCTCCCTCCTTCTCTCTCCCTTCCCCTCACTCTAAAAAATAAATAAATAAAGACTTCGAAAAAATAAATTAGATCCAGACATTTTGTTAACTGTTTTTATACTAAGACATAATATATAAGCAAAAGGAGGCTCATAATGGTCCAGACAAGCTAGAGAATCTAGCTTGCTGCTGTATTTCCACCCATGAAGACTCAACTAAGTTTGGGATATTATTCATAATACGTATTCACACCATAATGGATCCCTCTGGAGTTATTATGATATATACAGAGAACATTTATTAACAATGGGAAACATTTGCATATTATGAATCCATAATACACAGCAAGCACAGCAAAAAGCCTCATGAGAAGAAATTAGCATCCCAACCCTTGGCTATTTTCCCACAGTTCAGCCCCCCAAGAATTAATAAAAGACAAATATATTTTTATGTTGAAATACTAAAAGGTCTTAATTCACATTATGGGTAAATGACCTGAGATTGTCATTTCAAACTATAACAGCCTATTTTGAAACTCAGAACCATAATCATTCCTTTGTCAAATACAGTAAGGCATCTAACTAGTAGCTGGGACTTTTTTTTTCCCCACTCACATACAGCAATAACTGGAAAACTGTCTTATATAATACACAGAAATGTAGAAGTATATGTATTTTTAGTTTACCAGAAAGTCCTCTCATTCCAAGGCTGAGTTGTCAAATGTCAAGTGTTAGCTGAGAACAAAAGTTAGAGCTAAACTGTTGGCTTTTAAAAACAGTGGCTCCCTGGCCGGGTAGCTCAGTTGGCTAGAGCATTATCCCAATACACCAAGGTTGTGGGTTCGATCTGGTGAGGGCACATAGAAGAATCAACCAATGAATGCATAAATAAGTGGAACAACAAATCAATGTTTCCTTCTCTGTCTCTCTCTCCCTCTTTCCTTTCCTCTCTCTCTAAAATTCAATAACATCCCTGGCTGGTGTGGCTCAGTAGAATGAGCGCTGGCCTGCAAACTGAAAGGTCACCAGTTTGATTCCCAGTCAGGGCACATGCCTGGATTGCAGGTCAGGTCCCCAGTTGGGCATATGTAAGAGGCAACTGATTGATGTTTCTCTCCTTCTCTTTTTCCCTCTTCTCCCCTCTCTAAAAGTAAGTAAACAAAATCTTTTTTTAAAAAATCAATAATAAAAAAAACCTTTAAAATAATGGCTCCAGTGATATATCTTTAAATATACTGGGCTACTGAGCACCACTATAATTAAAAACCACAACCTGAAAACAAGGTTATAATATTTAGGAGCCCTATAGAAAGGAAATGAGTTAGGAAAGAGGAAAAAACCAAAATAGAAGAGAGAGAATAAAACCCCTCACAAAATAAAATCTCCTTCCTAGGGTAGTTATTCCTTGATCTTTGGCTTCATAATTCTTCCCAGCTGCCTTTGTCAAAGGAGACAGTTATTTGAAAGTGGGCTGACTCCATCTTCCCACTAGAAAAAAATAAAAGCTCACTAGTTGTAGGTAAGTTAGCAGAAATCCTGCCATTGCATAATCAAGTGTGTGGGTGGAAGTGTTCACAATGAACAGTTTGAAAGGCAGTTTTCTGAAGCATCCAAAGCCCAACATCACATGGAACTCAGATATATAAGTACATATATATACACGGCTTTGGATATCCATGGTAACCAGGCAGGCTTCGTCCTTAAAGTGAAAGAACAGTATTTCCATTGGATTACTCAGTGACCTGGATAAGCACAGACAAGAAGGCAATCCTCACTACTTGCTCCTTCTCATTAAAATATTTTGGAATTTGGCTTTCAATTTTAAGCAGATCCAATTTGCCACCATAGACTTGAGTATCAATGGCACCTCCCTATTATGCTTCTATACCAATACTGCTTGTAGTACTTTGAAATGCTACTACTGCCAAAAGTCCAGTATGAAAATTTAAAGGAGAGAAAGCAGATCAAAGAAGGTCATTTCATATGCAGACAGTAGGGAGGCACAAAAAAAAGAATCAAAGTTAAATTTCCTGTATTACTTTACCCAAAATGAGGTCAACATTTGAGACAAAACATCAAGCATTAACAAAGATTATGTTTTGGTTAAGGTATTCCATCAAACACACTCAGCCTACTGTAGAACCAACTCAGGTGACACAAAGTTTATTGGGCAAAATTCATAATTTCTTTTCTGTTACCTTCTTCTTAAAAAAGTCATAAGATTTACAAAGTGGAAAATTTTTCTGTTATTTTTTTAGGAGAAGAAGTCTTAAATACCCACCAAACTCCCAATTATAATACACTCAAAGCTTGACATTTCCTAAGTGGGAGTGGCTAGCAGACACATAACAGTAAGCTAATACCAGGTTCACACTCTCATTCATTTATTCAACAAATATTTACTAAGCAATGACCATGCCAGGCACTGCGCTGGGCAGATAGCAGTGAAACAGACATGGTTCCCTGCCCTGATTTATGTCTTGGTTCTTAGTTGCAATTCTCACTAACCTTAGGCAAACCACTTAATTTTTTGGCCTCAAATCCCTCATTTGTCAAATGGTAGTATCAGATAACATTACTATTTTACATTTATGTCAGTGAGATATTCATAAAATACCTCATCTGAGCCTCACAAGTAGCCTGAGAGTTTGGCAGGGCAGGCAGGCATCACTGGCCTCTGAGATCCCTTTAAGATCTAGTACTTCATGATTCAACCATTCCCTGAGGAGCATACACTGGAGTCATGTAGCTTCTTACATAGAGAAAAGTACTTAACTATCTTTTTTTTTTTTAATGATATTTATAGCTAGGTTTGTGGGATTTTTTTTTTTTAAGATTTTATTTATTTTTAGAGAAGGGAAGGGAGGGAGAAAGAGACGGAAAGAACCGTCAGTGTGTAGTTGCATCTCACGCACTCCCTACTGGGGACCTGGCCTGAACCCAGACATGTGCCCTACACTGGGAATCAAACCAGTGACCCTTTGGTTTGCAAGCCAGTGCTCAATCCACTGAGCCACACCAGCTAGGGCAGTACTTAACTATCTTTTCCAAAGTTTTCTTTGGAAATTAAGGAGTCCTGAAGGACAGTACTTTTCAGACGATTTCTTAAGTGAAAGACTAGACAACTGTGTTCTTTGTTAAACACAGCTATGCTCACCTTGAAAGATTCAAGACCATATTAATCAAGAAAACAAAAGAGGTTGTAAGCTCACCATCAGAAGAGGGTGGTGTGGTACCAAGTGGTGTGACTGGGGTTGTTGGAGCAGGACTGACAGGAGTCGTCACCAAACCCATCTCTGGATGACTCTGAAAAAGAACACAAATGGGTGAGAAGAGAAAATCCCGACCCAAGTATCTTCTGATTAATACGTTTTCTGATATCCCTGGCCTCAGAGACAGAAAGCTCACTGAGGAGGGACTACTTCTACATTTAGTTCCCATGACTACCCTATTACTGTTGATGCTTGCTAAACACTAAGAAGCCCTGTGGGCTAGTTCTTTCTAAGCAACTAAGTTCTCATTATATAAGTTTTTCTGCAGAACTATACAAATAAAAACTGGACAAAACAAATACACAGGGTTATTCTACAAACAAAGGGAGAGGCATTTGCTCTCCTATCTGAACCTGGGAAAAAAATACTCTCATCAGATCAACCTAAAATACACCTACAGACTATTCTGATGACCACTTAGTTGATAATAAATGCAGGTGAGCCAAGGGGATAGTAGGTACTATAAAAAGAGCTATGAAAATGGCAGCCTTCCTTTTCCACAACAAACTAAAGTGTGTGAAATAGGGAGAAAAAGACCCCCACTGGGGACCAAAACATATGGTTTCTCTGTCCCTGACCATCCTTAGCCATCCCTGCCACATCAGCTCTTGGAAATTAAACTGAATGGAAGCTACTCCCTTCTCTTCCCAAACAGCTTTACCAGCGTTTTACCTTTCCTTAAAATCAGTTATAGAATTCAGAAAGCAGACAACTGAGAATAGTAAAAACAGTAAATAAAGTCTCTTATGTTATCATAAGGGTCATGAAAAATTATGTGTCCTTCTAGGCAGATCCCAAACCAGCACACAGCTTTTTAAGCATGACTTTTTTTGTTGTTGTTAAACTCAATCAGTGGATCCCATACACATTTGCCCTTTGAGAAAAGAAACATAAGCAAACCTCCCTTTAAAAGAAACCTACATATATATTTTAAGCAGTCTGGCTTTAAAATGAAAACACTTTATCAATTTTTTAAGGCAGCTTTCATGGACAGCACTTGAGTTCTCAGCCTATTTTAGTCCCATCTGTTCCAACAACTGAGGCTACCCCTTAGGCAAATGACCCAGCACTCAGTATTCTATGACTTTGTGCTGTTATTTGCAGACCAGTTTTTTTTCTGTTAACTGCTAACCTTAAGCTGAAAGGATATTTCTCACTTTTCGTCTCTGGAAATTTGTGAGAGACTAAGATAAGTAACTCAGCCTATTTTATCTCCAGTCATAATTCCAGTGGTCTAGAAAGCAGAAAGCCTGATATAAAAATCCATCTGGACAGATAATACCAAGGGATTGCCAATGAGCCAAATAACATAATCTCTATTCATCTGGGTTAACAGTAAACTGGTCAAAACCATTAACTTTGCGTGTGATCTGACCCACTCCGCACCAGGTGGAAACAGACGTACTTGGGGACAGCTTGAAGCACAGGCATCTGAGGCAACTCTCTGTTACCACTACTCACCAAAGCAAAGCAGGGCTCAAACAGGCAAAGCCAGAGGTTTTTCAATGGCCATGATTTGTATGAAATTCAGGAAGAAAAAGAATTGGAGTTTTTAATAAAACCAACCTGAGCTAACACTGTGATGAAGTTGCGATTTAAATGAACAGCTTCATAAAGTGCCAGAAGGATGGCCTCATTGGTTCTAAAGAAAAAGAGAACAAATTGAAGAGGTTCTTATAGTGAAGGAGTTAGAACAATATAAACATCAAGATAAGATTTCATCCCAGCTCCTCATTATCAGTTCTTCTGAGTTTCTAATGCTTCCTTTATTTCCTTTCCTGACATGTGTAAAGTGTATATAAGCAAAGAGGAAAGAGTAAAGGGCCTTAACTTTAATTCCTTAGTTCTTATCTACTTCATTCACTATTTTCACTCTCACTTTTTCAACCCAATCCAGCTATGTGTTAACTGGCTCAGATACCCAGCCCTCTTTCTTTTCATTCCAGAGATCACTGGGCACAGTTTCTCAGCTTCCTGGGGCTCAATACACAGAACCAAAGTAGAGGTTTCTAAAACTCAAGAAACATTTGATATATTACCAAAAAAAGTTTGAATCTGTAAGAGATTAACAAGAGGATATGAGTTTCACACTCCCATATCCAGTCAGTGAGTCCACACTAAAGTTCAAGTAGCTGCCGAAGAATGTCAGGCACTTACTGTACTGATATTTTCTCATGAGCATCTGCTATGAACATGCTGCCCACCTGTGGAAGAAAGGGGGAATTGCACACTTACAGCAGGAAAATGTAAGAGGAGCTCTGCTAAAGAAGTCTTTTAACCAGTGAAAAAACAAGCTACTTGCCACCCAAGGAAAATTGGAACTCTTGCTCACCAGTTATACACACATGCATATCAGCCCACTTTGAAGATCTTAAAAGAATCATAAGTAATAAATGAAATAATGATAACTCCACTAAATTGTCTTTTCTTAAAGGAACTTAAAAACAATCCTAGTACTTTTGTCCAGCTCTCCTTTTTGATGGATAAATTTAGTAAACCACTGACAGCAAGTAAAGTTAACCTAGACATTCTCATCACTGCATCTTTCCTGGAAGTTGCTTTGTTAAAGTCAAAAACTAATTCATGAAGAACATCACAGAAAGTAGGCTGACTTCATCATTCCCCCCATAGACATATGCGGGGGGAATACTTGAGTTTCAGACCAGAACTGCCTATGTGAGGTCCATTGCCCATCTTTCAGATCACAATACCTTTAGTCTGTGTCCTCGGCAGGCCAGCCGAATAAGTAAATGGAGTAGGCTCCCTCTCATATGTGATATCAGAGGCACTGAAAAGGATGCCCTTCCCTCTAAAAATATCTTTCCATCTGTTTATTGATGTCCAAAACTATACAGCTGGAGTTTCCTTAGGCAAAGATCCCTGAGAGCAATATAATTATATCTAAAGCATTTAACCAAACACCAATACAGCATGTTCATACTGCTCTGACCTCTGAGAGACCTTAGTAATTGATGCTTCATAGTTAAAGTGCATCAAGTCTTTCCTGAGAGTAGGCTCTAAGAAAGAAGGGGGAAAGGGCATAGTCATTGAAGGGGAGGGGCAATTGCCTTTTGGAGGGTTAAAGGGATGACCGTTTCTTGCACTGAACTCAAAATTGTCTTGCCCTAGGCTAATTATTTGAATACCAAAGCCCAAAAAGACTTTCTGTATCTCCCTACATTCTAAGACCTGTTAGATTAGTCACAGATTATCTGGCCCAAAATGCCTAGGATGCCAAGGTTGAGAAATCTTGCTCAGCAGTCTTGCAAGGTTGACCAATGAGTTTTGTAGACCATGGACCTCTCAGCCCATTAAGCCTTTAGACGAGTGGCTCAGATCCACTGCACCAAATCCTCAACTCCAGGACCAGCTATGAGGAAACAAGTGGCCACAGCAGGGTTAGAGTAAGATCTAAACCCTCCTTTTCTCTGTACTATAGGGTTTACCCTCAAACAAAGCCAACTCTATAGAAAGCAGAAGCCTGGCTTAATACGTACTTTTATTGTAGCCTTTAAAAATTAAATTACCATATTTTGCTGTGTGTAATGCGCTCCCATGTATTATGCACACCTACGTTTTTAGCCCAAACTTTCAAAAAAAAAAAAAAAAACTTTGATTTTAATTTTTAATTTCAATTTTTTATTTGTTTATATTTAGAAACAGAATCAATTACTGTATTCTAGGGTATTGTTTTGCATACAGATATTGTTATTGCTTTCTAGAGTTACACTTTTAATGTATAAGCATAAATAAAAGAATTAAAAACATTTACATAGCTATGGAATTAATACTACTCATGTATAATGTGAGTCCTTATTTTTCCCTGAAAAATGTGGGCACAAAAGTGTACATTATACACAGCAAAATATGGTAATTAATTTGAGGAAAAAATCTGTCCCAGAGAAATCCTTCCCCCTACGTCATTTTGGTTTGGAAGTCACTGAAAGAAACACAGTTCTCAAAATAATCTGCTCTGAGTAGCCCTCTCTCTCTCCCCTAATCATGCCATCATCTCAAACATCTGAACTTCTGAGTCCAGGTTTGTCTACCTCTATAGATCTTACATTTCTGAGCAGGAGAGAAAAAACAAGTAGGACTTACCATATTTGTTAAAGCAGAGAAAAAACCACTTTGGTGTTCTTCTTCCTTGTCTTTATACTGCCTAAACAAAAATAACTAAATTCAACTTTAGTATTATTTATCAAGTATGTCTTTGTCCTTAGCATTCTAGGTAATCAGGACAGGGCACTCGCAGAATTCACTGACTCCAGAAAACAAAAGCACTGTGACAGTATAGCCACTGCAGTCTTTCTAAGAGGCACGCATCCTGCTCTTGAGGTAGTAGGTACCAAAATGTCTGGCTACTTTGGGAGACTTAGAAAGCAAGCTGCAAAAGTGTGAAACTGCTCTAACATATGGGTGATCCAGTTATTTTTCAAACAAATTATTGAAAAGTGTGGCAGTGAAATTACTTCAAGGCTGTTAACAGCGAAAAGCTTTGTTTTTGAAGGAAGAGGATGGAAATCAGTGAGCTAACTATTTGTGGAGATGGAACAGATATGAAAATCCATCACCCAATTGTGTGTGAGGAAAATATGGAATAAGGTCCTGCCTGGCCCTTGCCAGGATTGGGGAAACTTCTGGTTTCCATTCACTGAGTATCAGATCCTTTCCCATGCACAGCAAGAGGAAAAGCCAGCATCAGTGAAGAGAGCTCCCAGAAGAGACAGGGACTCCGGGAAACTACCGTTGATTCCTGATAACAAAGAAGAATCTGGCAAACTAAAATTAATTCAATATTTTCTCCTTTTATTTATTTTTTAGGTGTACAAAAAGTCAAGGCTTTGCAAACTTTTTTACATAGAAAGTGACATTTGTGTGATACACTGGGCCAAATGGAAGAGCCTGCTTGTGGCTAAAATACTAAAATGCTCTGCGATAAAATACTAAATGTTGCAAAGAATGTACCTAATTGTTTAAAGAAAAGATGGACACTAACCTGGTGGCTTCTCCCCTGGTGTTGGAAACAAGCTCTGCTAAAGCCATTCAGCCAAGTTAGGGTAAGTGCATCTGCCAGCAGCTGTGCCTCTGAATACCCTTCTAGGACAGGTAAGGGAAGTTCACCCAAGAACTCTAACAAACCTCTTTCCTACTCAACCAACCCAAATGAAAATTAGACCCTTCCCTTCTAGAAAGGTGGACTTACCTGTTGTACTCAGATAAAGCCTGAGCAATCACAAGCCCCATTCCCTAGAAAGGAAAAAGATAGCAGAGGTGAAATAAGGGCCTGGTGGCAATACTATAATTAGGGCAGGGACACTAATTACATCCCCATGGTCCAAGCCCATGAAGTTCTACCTGAGTTGGCCAATAAGGACAGAAATTCCGGGAGGCATTGCCAAAGCATCAAAAGGAACTTCTTTGGAGAGATTTCTCTGATTTACTTATCTTTCTTATCCTTACTTTACAGAGTAACAGGGGGTGAAACAGGCTAGCCCAGATCACTGACAATTTCATTGGGATCATTTTCACCTCAAAAGAGAAGACTGAGTTAGAAGCTTCAAACAAAAAAAACCTCTCATATATATGTCCCTAAAACAACCACAATAAAAGTGACAATGAGTCCCATGCTAAACGAAGGTACATATGGACAAGCCACTCTCTGTCAGGCCACAGGAAGCAAGGAGTGTAATGAGAGGCATCCAAAAATGTTAAAGTGACTTTCCCTCTAGAATCAGCTAAGTACAACACAAAGATCAACTAAGGCCACACGATGAATCATGTGCATTTCTATTCATAAGGGAAATTAGAAGAATGAAGAGGGCAAGATGGAAAGAGAATAAAGCCAGACACCTGGTCATTGTCCTCTTCCCTATATTCAGAGATCAGATGTTATTTCCAAGACTTTCAAGGACACATTGTAGCATGTTTCAGCTTTACCAAGCCAGGCTATAAATGCCATCTGACTAGTTCTGTGGGAAGGAATCTTCCATCATTTAGTCACCTAAGCCCTTTTCTTAAAATTTTAGCTTTACTGAGGTATAACTGACATATAAAATTGTAAGCTATTTAAAGTATACAGCATGATGATTTGATATACCATCTAAACCTTCTTATTCTGGGAAATGTAATTTATTGACTCTGTAGGAGAAAAAACCTCAGCACGCTATAACATGAAATATAACCAACCATTTCATTATGGTCAGCAAGCAAATGTCCCCTCAAACCTTCCTTCCATGATAAGAATATAGACTACAATAAGATAATTGCAGTAATGCTCTAAAAAGATACACCAATTCCCTCTTTATAGCCAGATAAAATTAATATAATAGCTCTGTGCTCTCTAAATAGCCACTGTAAGTCCACTGAATTCAAGTAATTAAAAAAATACACAAAGATCCAGATACTCACATTGAGCGTGGCCTCATCATCCACAATAGACAGCTTCACAATATAAGGATTCACAGACTGTTAAAGAGGAGAGGAGACTCAAGGTGAGTGTGGCTTACTTAAGAACCCATGAACTATTTAACACAGTGTTAACAAAAAGGCATGTTAGCAGGCCCTTTCTCTGTAGTGATGCTCCTACTACTCAGACCCAACCCATCTTGCCAGCGGACTCCTCTCATTTCCAGTAAATCTCCGTGTGCATGCACATTCACCATGCACACATATGCACACATACACACACACAAATGTTGTTCTATCTGCGTTTTCCTCTAGGCTGAAGCAGCTCAGGCCTATGTCTGCCACTTCTCCCATCTTTCCCTCTTAATTGTTTCTAAAAAGTAAATGAACACTCCACAAAACTCACTTTGTCCTATCCTGCCAATAATTTACTAAGTCCACAGGGACAACGGTCTTTCAGGGGACATAAAAGCTTCTCTGCCATAAGGCACAAATTTGTAAGTTGCTAACTTACATTCTCATCCCAAAGGCTCCCTAACCATTCCACAAACGATATGCAAAGACTGATTCACCCACCCATAAAACAAAGCCACCTGGGGGGTGGAAAGTGGCAGCTGCTTAACAGCCAGAGAGGCCATTTATGGATTGGATACCCAAATAACACTGCAGGAGAACTGAAAAAAAAGGATGTAATTACCCAAACTACAATCTGGTCAGGACACTGGGATTTAATGACTGTCCCATCACTTATAGCATTGGAAGATTTCCCGAGTTTTTCCAGACCCAATCTTGGCTGGGCAGCATATGGAAATGAACATATATTTAAACTCATTAAGCAGTTGGGCCATCTCCTACTGGAGAGATGAGAACCAATGACCTGCTCACCTTAAAAACATCCCACCCATGGGATGTGAGGAAAGACCTCATGTAGATCAGGCACGAATTCTAACCCAAGGCAAGCAAGGAAAAATAGTTCTCAGATTGGCAGTTTTTACAGCAACCAAGAAAACTCATTATAGAGAAACTTGGAAACCCAACTACAAGACTAACCCCCCACATAGACCTTATTTAATCAAGTTTCTGAGGGTATCTCTTGAACATGAATTGGGAATGGAGAGACAGCTTTGCTTTCTTAACAGCTCAAATGTTTATAAGGTTTTCTACAACACAACTCAAGGAGTAAAACCCACTCAATTTGTTACTTGATCTAACAAAAGAAAGCTCTCAACACTTCTTCCCATAACCAATAGTCAAATCCTGCTGGTGTTACAAACTTCAGGTAAGATCCAATACAAGTGGATGCTTAAAAAAGAAAATCAGCAATAGGCTGACCTATAGATGTCACCATGAATAGAACAGCACTAGAAGGAAAAGGCCAGTTTCTTGGCATAATTTTTGAAAGTCCCAGCCACTTACCTTCCCAAAAGTACACTGTTTTAGGTAATGATAAGGATCACCTAATTACCAAGCACAGTCTGTGATTTAATAGCAGTTGGGGGAAAGGTAAGGTAGCTAAAAGCAAGGGTTTGAGTTCTAGCTCCTCTAGTTAATTGTGACAAGTTAGGCACACTAAACCTAAGCTCAATCTCCTCTTCTGTAAAATGAGGATATTTTCTTCCTTGGGGTTGCTTTGAGGCTTAAACGAAGATATGTAAAATCCTTAGCATAGTATTTGGCATACGGTAAAGGCTCAATGGTTGGTAACTATATTTTTTACTCCTTGGATATTTTTATCACATTCAAAGGAAGCTCTTTGGGGAAGAAGAAAAGAGAGAAAGAAAGGAACAACTTGCAACTGGACATAATAAACAATTTTGTAATTTCTGGAAAATGTCGTGTTCAACGGGCAGCAGTTGGGGAGTGAGTCATTCATCTCAGGGGACATGGCCAATCTAGAAGGCCAGGATATTAACGCTGTGAAAATTTCTATTCTCCAGGCACTGATTCTCCTTAGCACTATGTACCTGTTGTGCTGGTCACGTTTTTAAACTAGAGGCAATCTACTTTTCAGCCACAAAACAGAATTACAAACTCAGTGAGCCCTCATGGGGTCACTCTAATAGGGTCCTGCCTTTATTTGATCTAAATCATTCCGTACTTACCATTTTTCATTGCACTTCCTTAGGCTTTTTTTTTTTCTTTTTCTGCCTCCTCTATCTCTTTAGATAAAATGTTTAAAATGGAATGTATTATTTGAGGTAAGGAAGAATTATTTTTTACCTTTACTCTATGGCATCTTTTCTATCACTCCCATTCCTTAAGTCCAACAGATTATTTGCCTTCTCTGTGTTTAGCTGGGCACCCAGCCTCTCTGATGCCCTCTGCACCTTTCTGGAAAGGTTATGACCTACTGAATTGATCATGGGATGGATTGTGGTATAGCTAGAATGCTGTTCTCCACAGCACACACCCTCTCATACTAGCTTGCATAAAATTTCACCAGCTTTTGGTTTTGCTATGTTCATCTGGAATTCCTCATGTTCCTGTCAAAAAAAAAAAACCTTCCTCCTCCATGGTCACCAGGCTTCCTTAATGGTTTCTGGTGAGTGACTTATATCAAAAGCTGCGAAGCCCAGATAAATTATGCCCACCAGCTTGACCTCGCCTAGTATATTAATTCTTCTGGGGCTTCTGACAGACTACAGATGCATACCTCACTCCAGAAATATGATTTTCTCCAGTTCCTTGGCCATGTCCAATTTTTCAGGCTGACATTTCAGAGAGCCCTACTGGGCTAAGCCAGGTTTCAGTTCACATTTAGAGAAGCCAAACCACTGCCTCAAAGTGGCCTGCATCCAGCAGAATGTTCTGAAAATATTCAGTACTGATGATGGTGTTTTCCTATCACATATAACTCAATTTTCTTTAACTCTCTTCAGCATTTTTCCTCAGCTATTTTTTCTTGCTGTTGTAATAAGGCCCAGAGGCTATTACACATGTCAGAGATCAAAATGGCTAGCAAGCCAATCCCTCTAGAACACCAGAAAAACAGGTGTTGGTGATAAATTACATATTTATTAGTCTCTGTAAACACCATTCATCAGTTCCTCCTAGACAATGAGAGCCATCAGCTCCTGAGATTTATAACACATTACTGTCGTTCCACATATTCTAGTTCCTCCTCAAGTATTTCTTTCTTATGGCCTCCCCTTCTTCCATATCCTTCCATATAAGAATGAGCTCCAGATTTTGTTACTTATCACTTTTGACGTAACTAGGAAGCATATCTAACATCACTAAGTAAAGATCCAAAAGTTCAGAAATGACAATTATCCCTCCAGCTGGCCCACTTCTCATAGCACTGCTACTTATTGAGTGAAGAAAGTCAGGTTGCCTCAAAGCAGCTCCTGACTTCTGGGCTTAGTAAAGTACCACTAGCTCCTTGTTGCTCTGAAGCTATCTCCAATAAGGCCCCTGGTCTTCCTTAAGTGGCCCCCTTCCGTTTCTGTGTATTCTGCCTTCTGAAGGAAATCAAGCAAACACACCAATCGAAGCAGAATTCTCTCTGAGTTCTGCTCTTCATCACAAAAACCTATAAATCTGTCCCCAATAAATTCAGGGGCAAAAAGAACTCCAGAATTAACATGAACAGGGCCATCTTCAATTTCCATTAAAATCAGAAAGAGTTCCCAGACCAACAATGATACTTATGTAAGTGGATTGCATTAAGGAAATCCAACATATAGAAGTCCAACCTTTCAAACCATATGCATTAGGTGAGTGGTTCCCAAACCTAGCAAATCATCGTATTCAACAGAGGATCTTTAAAAACATACACACACAAATTCCCAGGCCCACCCCAAAAGATTCTGAGTCAGTGTGTTGAGAACAAACCCCGAAATTTCTTCTTTTTAAAAAGTCCCGAGGTGATTTAAATAATAAGTTGGGTTTAGGAACCACTATATTAAAGGATATTTACTCACTTTATTAGAAGTTGTACTACAGGATTCCTTTAAACAGCTATATCATCTTCCCCATGCATTTAATATAGGATTTTTAGAATTTGGTTTATCAAAATAAATCCATATACCATTTACCAAGAGCATGTCTTCTACATTAAGCAAAGGCCCCTACAAGTAGCCATATGTCAGAAGATTATAGAAAGATAACAACTATCAATTAAGGGGCCCACATACCTCGTATTTTCTGTAGTTCACCAGCAAAGCCAAGAGGACTACAGCGTCATACCCATGCTCCCTACGACTTAGGGGGTGGGAGAGTATCTGTAATAAGAACCAGAAATGTGTGAGAGTGCTAACTCCTAGTTCCTAGGAATATAGTTAAGGAGGTGGTTTACTCAAAACAGAAAGAGCTAACAAGGGAAATGACCAACCTGTAAAATTGCTTCAAATATGCTGTTGATCATTACATACTCCAGGATAGTGTTCTGGCTGATGTTATCTGTCACCTGAATGCAATAAAAGACTTTTTAAAGTCTACACTGAGAAACTCTGATATCACATATATATCTCCTCCCCTAGAATCTAAGAGAAACAAAAATGTTAAAACATTCTACTAGATACTTACCAGACCTTTCATAATCTCCCCTAAAGTTACCAGAGCTAAACAGACGATAGACGAAAACAGACAGTAGACGGGTAGGAAATTAGCAAATTAAAACTCCCTTAATTTTTGAACTTCTCATTGTTTCTCTCATACCCTCACACAAGCATTTGCTTAAGTTTCTTGGGTTTCAGTCCTCAAACGCACAGGAAGAAGTTTATGATCCAGAAGTCTTCGAGTGGTGGCAGGGAAAGGGAACGACCTCAAGCAAAGGAACGATACCTCGCCCTCCTCCTAAAAGGTACAGGGCAGCTTCATGCTATAAAATCTATCATGAACAAATAAAAACATTCAGAATCACAAAAACTGTTTCCAAATAAGATCTGATGAGAAGGGAAACTCTGATAATCCAGAAGACAGTAGTTCTCCAGGAGGAGCACCTCTAAAGTAACAAATATCATATATCGTGTATATTAAAATGCTAGCATTTGCTCCAAAGAGCAACTTCTAGGAAACAAAAGCCCATGCAACTAACTTCCTCCTACACACTGAAACACAACAGAGTGATGTAATGCCCCAGTAGACAATTTATTGTTCTCTTTTTCTTTCTAGCTTTGCGTTCAAGTATTCAAATAAGCTTGCCCCTGCTGTCAATTAACATCCCTGACAAAGAAACATAGATGAGTTACTTACAGTCACTAAACAAAGGAGAAGTTTAAGACATAAACTCTTCAGGCTTTCAGAACCTTCTGCACAAAGCAATGAATCCAAACTCTCCATCAAATTCTGAGAAAGAGAACAGTTAAAAGTAAAAACATATCAAATAAAATCTGCACTATGTCTTTGTCCAATTCTGGGTTATGTTACACAGGGTAATGTCAATAGCACACAATGAAGCAAGCACATCATTCCCTGAGGCCCAGGCCTTACAAAATTAGACAAAGAAAAGGAAGACTTCTAAGTCTAGCTATTTTGGGGAAAATGCTTTAGAACAACTGCACAGAACAAGAGAATTCACTATTCTACCAAATGAATGTTTGTAGCCTGTCATCCTCATCTAAACCTTTAGATTAGAATGAAAGAAATTTTAAAAGATCAATAATAAATTGTAAAAGGTCAATACTTATTATTAACATGGTTAAATTAAGTAAATAAGTATATACTTATTATTTAGCATGGTTAAATATATAAACTAAAAACAATAAGCTAATAAACTTCAATTTAAAAATTTTAAATAATAATTAAGTTCAAGGTTAATAACAGTTCAATAACTAAGTACGTTTCATTTTTAATTAAAAAAAAATATCATTTGAGGGAGGCACACTGAACAAACAACAGCGAGAGAGTATGACCACTGGCTCTCACCTGCCATATGCACTATGCAACAAAGCTAGCTTGTGTCCATCCTGGTCAGTCCTACTGGCCAATGTGGTTGGAGTTTATCACTTGCGCTAACAACCAGCTGTTAGACCCAACGTAATCAAAAGATAAAACCTTTAGATATTACAATAGAAGTAAGAAGAAAAGAAATATTTTACACCAAATAAAGGAAGAAAATGAATGGAGAGTAAGGTTTTAGCAGGCTAAAAGGTCAAGTGAAGGTTCAAAATAAGATACTTCAGTTCAAGAAATATGTAGTGAGGGTCTATCACATGCTAAATATTGTGCTTTCAAAAATACAAACAAAAATAAGACAGGGACTCTTGCTCTCAAGTTGTTTTTAGTATAATGGGAGAGAAAAATAAGAAAAAGTTTTGATATAATGGTTACTATGACAGAAATACCCATGGAGGAAAGGAATTAGCTCAGATGTCGCCTATTCTAGTACTCCTAAAGGGTGTGTTGTATTTTGAAAAATCAGTAGAAATTAAAACTTGAGAAGAAAAAAAATTCTAGACAAGTTTAGCATGATCAAAGACACATGAGGAATGAAACAGCTCTGGTACAAAGTTGAGATACAAGCAGTTTGTTATTAAGAAAGTACTGTATAATGAGCAAGGCACAGTGGTGAGAGATGAGACTAGAGAAATAACTACAGAGCAGTTCATGAAAGTTTTATAAGGCTAACTAGGGAGTTTGGTCTTTATCCTGTTAGTGATAGGAAACTAATGATGGGTTTTAAGCAGGAGAGATTTGAGTGTAAGACACAAAACCTCTGATGTCAGTGTGGATGACAGATTTAAAGATGCTAAGCCTGGAGGAAGGGAGACAAATGAGGACTAATCCATCAGTTTTCTGAAAATAGTTGCTATGTCTTATTTGCCTCTATCCCCAGTGCCTGGCACACAGGAGCCTAACAAAGGTTTGTCAAAAGAATGAATGAAGACATCACTGTAATAGTTCAAGTGATAGATAATGGGGACAGTGGCAACAGGGGAAAAAAGAAAAGGTGTGAGAAATATAAGCTGAGGTAAAATTAGCTGAAGTTGGTGATCGTTTGGATATGAAAAATGAGAGAGAAGAAAAAGAGTCAAGGATGACTCCCAGATTTTTGGCATTAGGGACTGAAAAGACAGGTGCCCCTATTCTAACAGGGACTGAATGAGAAAGAATAGATGTTGAGAAAACAATGAGTTCCATTTTGAACATTTCAATCAAGAGATATTTAGGGATCTTACTCTCTCTCTCTTTTTTTTTTATAGTTTGGATATAAGTCCTTTACCAGATATCAGATTTGCAGTGTTAAGTTTTGTTTTTTGGTTTGTTTTTTTAAAGATTTTACTTATTTATTTTTTAGAGGGGGGGGAAGACGAAGAGAAACAATCGATGTGAGAGAAAAATATCCATCAGTTGCATCTCGCATGCCTCCAACTGGGAACCTGGTTCACAACCCAGGCATGTGCCCTGACCTGGAATCAAACTGGTGACCTTTCAGTTCGCAAGCTGATACTCAATCCGCTGAGCCACACCAACCAGGGCTGAACACTTTCTGAGGGCAAGTTCCAATCCTCAGTCCATTGACCGAGAATCGAACCAATGACCTTTCACTTTGCAGGATGACACTCAACACACTGAGCCATGCTAGTCAGGGCTGTGAAATACTTTTGTTCTTTTACCACCAATTTAGGGAACTGTTTGAAAGAATCCTCCTCAGGCCTCAGCCAGCAGGCAGAAGCCACTCATCCTCCTCTGATAACAGCCTGTGAATGTTCAGATTTACTTTTCAGCTAAAGACACAATGAATGACATGGTGGATGTCACAAGAAAGGTGGAACTAGTGACCTTTCTGTTTGCAGGATGATGCCCAACCCACTGACCCACACCAGTCAGGGCTAAAGTCAGAGACGTAATCAGAAGCACATCAGTAGTTAGAATGATGAGAATGAAGGAGAAATACGGGCTTTTTTTCCATGATATATACATGAAATACATAGGCTTGAATTTAAAAAATGAGTCCAGGTATTAAATATTTGTGTATTCATAATTGTCTGCTCATAACTTTTTAAAATAACCCAATCACTAAAGTATTCTTTGACACACAGATTTTTTTAATATTTTATTTTTTTAAGTTTTTTTTAAAGGTTTTATTTATTTACTTTTAGACAGAGAGGAAGGGAAGGAAAAAGAGAGGGAGAGAAACATCAATGTGTGGTTGCATCTCATGCACCCCATACTGGGGACCTGACCCACAACCAAGGCATGTGCCCTGACTGGGAATCGAACCAGCAACCCTTTGGTTCGCAGGCTGGCGCTCAATCCACTAAGCCACACCAGCCAGGGAACATTTTATTTATTTTTAGGGGGGGGAGGGGAAAGAGACACAGTGGGAGAGAAATATCGTTGTGGCTGTCTCTCACACATCGACAATTGGGGACCTGGCCTGCAACCCACGCATATGCCCTGACTGGGAATCAAAATGACCATCCAGTTTGTAGGCCAATGCTCAATCCACTGAGCCACATGAGCCAGGGGAGATTTTTTATTTTAAGTTCAGTGAGTGACAGACTACTTCCTCAAAGTTCATACTATGAACAACATTCATTCAAGACAGTGTCAAACACTGCAAATCTGCCCTGGCTAGTGTGGCTTAGTGGGTTCAGTGTCATCCCACAAAGCAAAACATTATAGCTGGATTCGCAGTCGGGGCACATGCCTAGATTGTGGGCCAGGTCCCCAGTTGGGGTGGGGAGCCAGCTGATTGATGCTTCTCTCGCACATCGGTGTTTCCCTCTCTTTTTTTCTCCCTCCCTTACCCTCTCTCTAAAAAATAAAATCTTTTAAAAAACAAACCAAAAAAAAACCTAAACACTGCAAATCTTGTATCTGGTAAAGGACTTATATCCAAACTATATAAAGAACTCTTACAACTCAACAACAACCAAAAAAAGGAAAATAACTCAATCTAGAAATAGGCAAAGGGTTTAAATAGCCTTTTCTCCAAAAAAAAAAAAAAAAAAAAAAAAAGAAAAAATATATACACACACAAAAGACAAAAACCATTGTTGATGATATAGGAAAATTGGAACCCTCATACACTGCAGTGAAACTGTAAAATGAAACATCAACTTTGGAAAAGAGTGTGGCACTTCTTCAAGGTCTTAAACATAGGGGTACCATATGACCCAGCAATTCTATTCCTACATATATACCAAAGAGAATTGAAAACACATGTCCACACAAAAACTTACACATGAATGTTCATAGCAGCATTATTCATTATAATCAAAATGTTGAAATAGCCCAAATGTACATCAACTGATGAATGAATAAATAAAATGTGGTACACTCATACAATGGAATACAAAGCAGCCATTAAAGGGAATGAAGTACTGCTTACATGCTACAACACAGATGAACCCTGAAAACAAGCTAAATAAAAGAAGCTAGAAACAAAGCACCACATATGATTCTATTTATATGAAATGTCCAGACTACGTAAATCCATAGAGACACATCTGATTGACAGTTGCCGAGGCCAGAGAGAAAGGGGAATGAGGAAGGACAGCTAATGGGTACACATTTCCTTTCAGGGGTAATGTTTTGAAATTAAAAGTGGTGATGGTTATACAACTTCAAGAACATATTGAAAAAACACTAAATTATACACTTTAAAAGGGGGAATTACATATGTGAATTATACATCAACAAAGCTGTTAATTTTAAAAAGTGTCAAAAAATAGAAATAAAAATTCAGATAGTCATTGTGTTAAATAAGAAAGCTTAAAGTTTAGAAGTTACCCTTGTATATTAATTTGTTATATTTTATTTAAGTTCATAAATGTTTTTAAGACTGTATGATCATATGCTATAAGTCATAAAATAAGCTCCTCAGTCTTTATCCTGAAGAGAAAGGATGCCTCAACTCAAATTTGCATTTCAAATTTTTCTTTATTCAGATAAACCAAATCTGTAAGATAAAAACATCCAAATTCAAGGCCAAATTCAATCATCTATATCTTTTTTGAGTCCAAATCTTCTAGTACATCTAACTGTCTGCAGATGGTACCCATGAACAGCTGTCAGAAGCAGCCACACGCAGGCACAGCTGCAGCTTATGCCTCACCTTCATGCACAGCTCTGCCTTGTCAAAGCCCATCAGCATGTTGATAATGTCAAACCCAGACGTAGACTTATTCTTTTGATGTACTCCTCGAATGAGTGCACACAAGGTCTGCAGAGATGAGAGAAAGAATTCTTTCTAGAGGAAGTCTCAAAACGAAGGGCACTGGATCTGTAGCCTCACATTTCAACCTCAGAACCTCCCCTTGCACAGCTGACATTCAAGTGCTGTAATACTTGAGCTCTAAAAGTCAGTCTGAGTCTTAAAATGTGCAAGATCCAGAAATCAAAAGGGGAACAGCAACTAAAACTGTTGTCATCCTCTTTTTCTGTTGTTTTTTGGCCATGCTCTTTTCTAAAATTGCACTGCAAAGACTGGAAGGTGATATTCAAAAACAGAAAATAGTTCTTGAGTTTGTGTCATAGGATTGATGAAACTCTATTTAAAATTAATTCTAGTACTTACATTATAGTTTATCATTTTTAGTAATTATATTTAATAACTACAAAATATTTAAGTTCCTTTATGATAACAACCAAGTGCTTCAAATCCTAAATTCATTATACTTCACTACTTACTAGTTGTGCTTGGACAAATTAGTTAACTTTTCAGTGTCTCAGTTTTCTCATCTATAAAATGGGAATGATAATAATAGCACCCATCTCACTGGGATGTTGTAAGGACTATGTGAATTAATACCATAAAGCACTTAGAATAGTCCCTGGAATTTTGTTAAAGTTTACCCCAATAATGGTATCTGGAACTTTGTTAAAGTTTAATAACTATCAGCTATTACAATAATGCACTATATTTTTATTGGTTACCAAGGACCTTAATGTCAATCTATTTCCACTGAACTAAAATGTTTACAATTCATGCACCCACAGTTAGCCACTACAATTACAGGAAGTACAATTTTCAACTTTCATTTCAACTATCAGTGAGCCCCTACAACTGTGATGCTCAAAATGTGAAATTTACTACACCAAAGGTTAATAAAACCACAGGATTAACACAGTCCTTCTTTCTGGGGCATCAGCTCAAGAGGTAATTTCTACATTCTACAGATGAGAAAACTAGGGCTCACAAAGTGATCTTACTAGTAAGTTAGAAACTTAAACCCTATCAACCAAAACTCCCAATAAAATCCTTCATGCTGTTTATCACTGCCCTAAGTCTGTCAATCACTGACGTAGCTACTCAGCTCTCGATTGGCTATCCTTGGAGCTATTAATCAATAAACTTTAGAAATTCTGCTCATCATTCATTCAATAAAGATTTACTTCTAGAAAAATTTTTTTTAAAAAAGAAATAAATTTTTTAAAAAATTTACTTCAAAAGTCTATTTGTCAGAAACTGTTCTACACACTAGGAACAACTAGGAATAAAACTGTCAAAGTCTTTGCCCTCAGAGGCCTACAATGTGTCCCCATGAGCTCAATGGTTGGCACATAACAGTCAACCAAGAAATAACTGTCCAATGAATATTCTTCATGATCATGCCACTTACCATTAACAATAATGATTCTTAATGTTTTCAGAGTTACACACCCTTTTGAGAATCTGATGAAAGCCCTCTCTCCAGAAAGATTACACATGTGCACATAAAATATTACATATAATTTCAGGGAACCAAGAACCCTCTGAAACCTCAGGTTATGAACTCCTGAAATAGTGAGAAAATTTTGTATTAAGAATCTCCTCTGATATTTCCTGTGAACTAAGCAATCTTGCCTCAATTTCCTGTCTATCTCTTCCTTACCTCAAGTAATAATAAGAATTCTGTCAAACAATCTGCCTTGGCACTAGATCAAATAATACAAACAGCCAAGATTACTACTATAAGAGTCGATTTGTTTAACCAGGAAGATGACTAAACAAACATGGCATAGATGTTTGATTACTTAAAGAAGTCAAAAAAAAAGAGAGACAAAAATCTCACACCTAAGGGCAATTCTAGGTTCCTCAGATCCAAATAGATGTGTTGTAATTCCTTTCTCCTATCAAACAAGGCTTCCCAATTTCCCAGTCCTGTACCTGCAATGCATTGACAACTCGAATTGGATGTTCCTCTCCCAGAGCCTGAATGCAGTGTTGAAATAAGCAATTAATGTTGTCCTTGATCTTCATTAACTCCTCACCATCAAGAGATTCCAGCTTGCCTTCTAGGTACTCTAAATTCACCTACCAAGGAAACAATAACAGCCTGAGTTCATTTTTAGTATAGCACCTAGAACACATGAGAAGGAAATCTCAGTTATCGGGAAAATCCACAGATGCCACCAAATCTTACCTTCATGAGGAAAAGCTCCTCCCAAAATCGAGGGCTGCACTTACTAGGGTCCTCTGTCTGAAATCAGAAGATAGGCAGGTTCAACATCCCCAGCTCAACACTAAATCATTAAGAAGGTTGATTATGTATAGTGAAAGGGTCACTATACATAATCAACCTTTCAAAATTAACTTTTAGCTTGGTTATTTTAAACTACAGTAATGGGGAACAACAGTTTTTTGGGATTTTTCCCCCAAATGGAAGACATTTTACATATATATATATGCAAACATTATAATGGCTCAAAGAATCTCCCTCAAATCTTCCTCTTCTAGCAAGAAATGAACCTAATCATCTGAATAAGTCAATCAAGTTATGGTAAGTCCCCACTCCATTTGTATGGTGCTCAATTTTCAAAACCCATTCACATACATAAAATACAATGACCCAGTGAGCCAAGTATGGTAGATATAACCATTATCCTCTTTTGAGGAAAAGAGAGTCCATGAAGTTAAGTGTCTTATACAACAAATGCAGAAGCCAGGCCCAAATAATCTTAGTGATTCTGCCATGGTTTTTATCACATCCTGTGTTGACTGCTTCTACTTGCCCTCACATACGTATTTAGTCCTCTGTATAGTTTTTAATATGCTCTTCCTTTAGTTAAATTGGTCCAAAAAGTTAGCAAAATTATTCTGCTAAAATTGAAAATTTCTTAGCAATAATTTTCAAACAGAAATTCTAGAAAGCCAAAGGCTTCTGGTTAATGAGTAAAATAAGAAAAAGGTAACCTCCCACCCCCACTTTACAGCAAAGCTAATGACAAAAATCAGCTGGTCAATTGCCTGCTATAACCTTAAGGTCACCTTTTAAAATTACTACCAAGAACGAATGTCTTCATTAGTTAAGAACTCCTGTTCTGATAAAAAAATATTATACTAGGAATGTCTTCTGGATTTTTAATAGAGGATGACGTAGAGAAGCAACATTTCTGGACTTCTCATAAGGTCCTCATTTAGTCTCTTTCTCTCAAGTCCTACTTCCCAGGAGAAGTCACACTTTGACCCTCACACTTCCGTATTATCATTCTGTTGTCTATTTATGAAACTCAGAGGCCAGATGGGAAGGGGGTGTGGGGGAATGGGTGAAGAGGTAAGGGGATTAAGAAGCACAAAAAGGTAGTTACAGAATAGCCCTGGGGATGTAAAGCACAGTACAGGAAATGGAGTAGCCAAAGAAATTACAGGCATGTGGACATGAACAACGGTGCAGGGATTGCCTAAGGTGGGGGTGGGTGACAGGCAGAGGGGTGCTAAGGGAGAAAAATTGAGACAACTGTAATAGCATAATCAATAAAATGTAATTTAAAAAATAAATTTAAAAAAAAAACGAAACTCGGGGAGCTAATGAAGCTGGCACTTCCCATCCTCAAAGCTCACTCGAGCAGGAATCGTATGTGTACCAAGCTAACTTAACATCGAAAAGAGCCCTAATAGGATCCTATTACCTGGTCATTTTCTCTGTATAACCAGCTATACTGACCTGGGCAGTTCTGTATTAATTTCCTGCATGTCAAACTCTGTCTCTAAGGCTTTGCCAAGAGTTAGATGTTTAACTTGACTGAATTATTTATCCTGGGCCATGTGTCAAAGTTGAACAAGTAAGGGCTCTGGAGTCAGACCCTAGGTTTCAAATCATCTTCTACCTGTGAGTTCCAGTTTTCTCATTTATAACATGATCTTTTACATGGCACATGTAAAAAACATAGCTCTCTTGCACCATTCTTATCAGAATTAAAGCTAATGTATTTAGTGATACATTTAGAGTAATGCCACACACATAGAAATTCAATGAACAGTAACTCTTTTTATAAGTATTATTTTGTATTACATGTATTACTTATGACCAGGAGGCAAGTAAGTACCCCTGCAAGGCATCTAATTACTCTAACTTCTCCTGAAGGGTGTATTTTATAGCTCAGGCTTGGACTATGATCAATTAGCAGTTATGAAGACCCAAACAAATCCAACTGCTAATATTCCTCAGTTCACTCATATAGAGAATGAGCTAGTCTAACTAAGCAACTGTTCTGTCCACTAACAGCTTGAGAAGCAATGTAACAGCATCTTTTCAAAATATCTGAAGCTTAGAATTCTAGATCCAAAAGGAACTTCAAGAGACATCTAGGATAGAAGGGTCCTTAAGTCAGATCATAAGGAAGACAAGTCTTAAAGATATTCAGAAAGGAAGTTTCACCATTCAATTGTTTTATCCAACTCATGGCAACAATCTATATTAATTAACACGAAATCGTAAGTTCTACTATGCGAGAGTTCATTTTCACCCTTGTTCTCACTCTTTCACCCTCTGAAGAGCAAGAAGGTAGCAGGCAGAAGTGAGGTTGCCTTTTATTTTGGAATAAGAAACTAAGGAGTCAAGCGATGCAGAATATCAGGGCTTCAGGTCTTACCATGAAGATCTCATCATACATCAGCACCACTTTTTCCTTCAGTGGTTTTTTGGAGGCTGAAGATTTTCGGAGCAAGCCCCCCCGTTTCTCTACCTGTGCCATGGTTAGAGAATCTGTGAAAAGAAAGCCACAGTAAGTGCTGGAAATGCCCTCCAAGATCCTGGAGACTCTATTGAAATACCTCTCATGGGAAATTTTTTAGGAAGAAGAAATTGTACACAACCACGCTACAGATCTTGTGCATCTGTCCAACACTCTCTCTCCTGCCCATGTCAAGGTAATATCAAGGTTTAAACCATTACTTGGCCTACAGCACAACACATTTTACACCCTTAAAGCATGCCAGTGGCCCTGGCTGGTGTGGCTCAGTTGGTTGGAATATCATCCCGTAAACCAAAATGTCGCAGGTTCGATTCTCTGTCAGGGCACATGCCTAGGTTGTGGGTTTGGACCCCAGTCAAGGTGCATATAAGAGGGAACTGATTGATGTCTCTCTCTCTCACAGGGATGTTTCTCTCCTTCTCTCTCTCTCTCTCCATTCCCCTCTCTCTAAAATCAATAAGCATGTCCTCAGGTGAGGATTAAAAAAAAAGAAAAAAAAAAAGAACATGCCAGTGGACAAGACTTAAAGCAGATCCAAAATCAAGCAGGAAAGTGTAACGAGCTCCATCTGTAATAGGTCTGGCCATATATTTGAGGTTGATGGAAGGAAAGCTGCAAAGCACACACTGCCCCAGACTAATGGTGAAGTTAAATTTCAAGTATTGATCAAGCCTAGGACCATTAAGACAGGAAGTGTGCTGCGGACTGATGGGCTCCATCGATTTCCCCAAAGTGAGTAGGTTCTCGTCATGGCAAAGTACTTGGCCTTCACTGCCTCATAAATCACAATGCACTTTACTGTCTTCAGGAATTCCTCTGGAAAGAGACCCAAGGCAGAAAACAGCAGTTAAAAGCCAAAAATTAAACTCAGTTTCAAAATAACCAAATATGACAATATATTCCTTTTAAATTTAATTATATGTATATGTGTGCATATGTATATACATATATATGTAATGCTACTGCAAATCAAACCTCTATGTATTTTTCAATTCTATATAAAAGCAATTACATGAAACATGCCCAAACTTTCCCATCTTTCTTCAAGGAACTCTCAATTTTTAAGTGAGAACTTCAAATCCCACAGGTCTCCACTATGGATTTACACACATTTCCTTACTTCTCAGATTCTTCCTACATGAAGAGACCAAATTCCTGTCTATCTATTAAATTCTAGGCTCTACTTGTGAAACTTAATCTCGAACAATGGCAAATGGCGGGGGGGTGGGGGCTAGCAAGCAGCCTGATTTTTCCTTCCAGATGAACCCAAAGCAGCAGAACAAAATTAATTTTGTTCATTGACTTTTGGAAAATATGTACTATCTTTCAAATAAAAATAAAAATTTTGTGTAAGGAACAGATGCATCAACTAGCATAAAAGATTTTATCTCAGACATTGTCTTTCTCTAACACATACAGCCAAAAAAGAGATTCACCTTTGAACACAAAAAAGCACAGAGCACAGAAAATTTCCTCAATTAGACATTAGGCATCTTTACTAAAGGGAATACATCTTATCCTTTTCCTATAAGCCCATTGCTCATGATAAACGCACAGTGTGTGCTCATCACTGACTGATTCTGAAAGGGGAAGGATACCTGAAAAGCAGTAGATCTGACTTAAAATTTTAGTAAGAGCAATCTTTATTGAGGCCTCACTAAGCCCACAAATTCCATTATGGTTCAGAGAAAACTGAAGGGAAAAATAACAACAACAACAAAGAGAAGATTCTGTGGACAATTTATGCTATATTGATAATGGCTTTGCCTTAAAGCATGAAATACAGCCTCTGTTCAAAACATTCCTGTGTCTTTTAAATAGATTGTCAAGAGGAAGATGTCCTTATACAGGAGAAAACAAATTGGAAATCAAGAGGATCCTGTTAAACTAAATCAAAAGCAATGCAAATCTAAGATTAGTGGGTCCAGATCTTTCATGTACTCAGCATCAACTGGTTGATGAGCAGAAATAGCAGGAACAAGTTCCTGAATGTGAAAAGCACATGTTTACAAACATCTCCCTCTAAGGATTTATAATTGGTTACAGCTAATCAATGTCTACCCCAAATCTAATAAACTCACTTACTCTATTTCAGAATCAATACTTTCTAATAAGCAAAAGGGAATAGGAGAGGAGGGAAAAACAATTCCGATCCAAAGTACCAAATTTCCCAAGAAATTAAATTCTTTCCATCACTCTCCTTCCATTTGGAGCAGGGGGGAAATTCACCCATGGGCCTCAACTCATTACTCTCTGTCATCATCATGGGCAACTGGAATTTACCACCCACACTGTCTAAACCAACAACATAAACTCTTCTCCTCCAGCACTTCTATCCATGAAACACAGCAAAGAAGGGTATGTCTAGGTTGGTGGACTAAGAGAAATGGAGAAATCTTACAGAAGTTTTGTTTTTTGTGGTTTTTATTATTTTTTTTTTTTTTGGCGGGGGTGGGGGGAGTCTCAGAAATTAAGCCCGTGCTCCTATATTTCAAAGTAAAATATCTGACTGGTAGAGCAGTAAATTGCGGCACATTAGTGATGTGAGTGTAATCTGTTTACATCCTCTCAGTGCTTTTTTCCTCTTCTTCAACCCTCCCGTGTTGTAGAGAGAATCAGCGTCAACTGAGAAACAGCAAGGCGGAAGGAAGCAACCAACCAGCAGAACCGAGACTAGAACACAGGTTTCCCAACCAACTAGATGGCTAAGTCTTTACTTCTCGGTTTCCTTAAAACAAGGGGATTGGACAAGACATATCATCTAATGATTTTCTCAACATCAATAAAATCCCATAAACACAGAAGGAACACCTATATATTACAAAGCACTAGTTTAGGCACCACAGAGTTACAAAGAGGAAGCCCCAGACCTGATCCTCTGGGAGCTCACTATCTGTTGGCAGAGACAGACACATAGTAACGCATAGCACAAGGCAAATCATGAGAAATAGAGAAGTAAAGACAGGAAAAGGACAAAGAAAATGCTATGGGACCACAAGGAAGGGAAAGAAGCATTCTATGACTATGACCTCAGTTGATTCTGGCTTTTAAATCCCTGTGGTGAAGAAGCAAATACAGCAAAGCCACAGTAATCCCACAGAAATGCCATCTTAGGCTTAATACAGTTCCTCAGAAATATGACATCCTAGGCAAAGCATAAAAGAGAATCAGGCGGCCTTTCAATACTAACTTCATTTACCACCAAATTTAAGATGGCTTCAAATCCCCCCAACTCAATAGGAAATCAATGAGGTCTTTTGTTCCTAAATCTCAGGGACTGCTGGTCCCATGATCTGCAGCACAACTTCTCTCTGAAGGATTCAAGTCATACAACTTCTTAAGAACGATATCTGAAAACAATCCAGGCATATACTTCTTAAATGCACATCTTTTCACATCCCTACAGGATGAAAAAGCCAAATATCAAGATTATAAAACCTAAAGCTAATACTTCAAATATCTAATAGGTAAGGAATGTTAGTTTCATTTAGCTGGTTATTCAGTTATTTAATCGTCTTCATGAGTATAATACATGCCAACTCTAGTATCAAAAATTAATTTAATAGAAATTCCCTATAATTTCAAGAGTTGCCATGGTTAGTCTATCAAAAGTCTTGGATTTTAGTCCCCATTCTTATACTCATTCTATATCCTTAAGTTTCCTTTCCCTCCTTGGGCATCAATTCACCAAAAATGTAAAAATAAGCCATGGCAAGAATCTGCAGAAAAGCAAATCTTTGTATATGGTTGACAGGAGTATAAATTGGTACAGTCACTACAGATAACAGTATGGAGGTTCTTCAAAATATTAAAAATAGAACTACCATAAGATCCAGTAATCCCACTTCTGGGTATATATCTGAAGGATGTAAAATCACTGTCTAGAAGAGACACATGAGCCCTAGCTGGTGTGCCTCAGTGATTGAGCACCAGCCTGCAAATCAAAGGGTCGCCAGTTCGATTCCGGGTCAGGGGACGTGCCTGGGTCACAGACCAGATCCCCAGTCGGGGGCATGTAAGAGGCAACCACACAACGATGTTTCTCTCTTTTTCTCCCTCCCTTCCCCTCTAAAAATAAATAAATAAAATCTTTAAAAAAAAAAGGAGACATCTGCACCCCCATGTTTACTGAAGCATTACCCACAAGAGTCAAGATATAGAAACAACCTAAGTGTCTATCAATGGAAGAATGGATAAAGAAAATGTAGTATATATACAATGGAGTATTTTTCAGCCATAAAAAAGGAAGTCCTGCCATTTGTAACAACATGGATGAGTCTTGAGGTCATTATGCTAACTGAAATAAGTCAGACAGAGAAAGACAAAAACTGTATGATCTCGCTTATATGTGGACTCTAAAAAAGGTGAACTCATAGAAACAGAATAGATTGGAAGTAGACTAGTGGTTGCCAGGGAGTGGGGAAAATGGAGAGATCCTGGGCAAAGGGCCTAAAAATTCCAATTATAAGATAAATAACTCCTGAAGATCTAATGTACAGCATGATGACTATAATGAACAATATTATATTGTATACTTGAAAGTTGCTAAGAGAGTGGATCTTAAATGTTTTCACCACAAAAAAAAAAAAAAAAGGTAACTCTGTGAGGCTTTAACTAACCGTATGGCAGCAATCATTTCATATATATGTCAGATCATCAAATTGGACACACTGAAGTTATACAATGTGGCATATCAATTACATCTCAATAAACTTGAAGGAAAAACACATGGAACAGCCATCTCCTATAGGCTTCCAAATTTAATGACCTAAGGTAACAATCACACTTTCTTCACTGTTGAGGGAGACTCTAAAACACTACTGTAGGCAGATGCTGAGGTAATCATCCTAAAACATTTCAACCAGTAAGTAAGAAAAGGAGAGGAGAAGGAATGATGGGAAAAAAAGAAAGGGGAAATAAGAGAAAGTGAATAAAAATAAATGTGCACATCATCTAGAAAGAAAAAGAACATATGCACAAATCAGGTATTCCTCAACAAATATTTACTGTC